TGAAAAGTCTCAATTGCGTGAGGCTCAAGCTCAATGCTTAAGAGTTTGCAGCTCTGATGTACTGTATAGTAAGATTTTTAACGTTAAAGTATTTTGTTCATCGAGTTCTGAGATCTGTGATTTAAGTGTCCCCAGTGTATTTTTGGATTTACTGGATCATTCCAAATTAAGAAAGACAGTAAACATGGTTGGATTTTAATTCAGGGTGGTACATTTCTTAATCAAATCAAGCCCTATCTGAGCACTTTTAATTTCTCATTCACATACCTGCTTTTAGCCTTGGTTGACATACACACACACACACACACACACACACACACACACACACACATAGAGTGATCAGGGCAGTAATGTCTTTGCAAGCTCCTCTGAGAATGGGATCAATCTGTCTGACCTTTGTATTGTGGTAGCCTGCAGTGTTCAATCTCTCATTATTTTGACAGTGAAAGGGCAGCTTTTCCTGCTATGAGCTGACTGGATGAAGCATCACTACAATGCCAGTATTCACACTATATACCTTCATCTTTTATGGCAGGTTCAGGTTCACTCACTAACTGCTCCACTCCACTTTTGGTACCTTGTCAACTGAACTGCAAAAACCATTTTCACCGAATATATAAAAGAGTAGCTATAACTAGTTGAAGGAAAGGTTGTGCCAAGTCCCAAAAGGTTCAAGTCATATGTGAAATGACATATTGAGATTTTGATTAGAGGTGCAATAAACATATTGCTGCTGTAGCTGCGCTGGTGACAGTAGAGACTGTAAGACGGATGCTGAAAACCACCACTGTTATTGACTAGTTACATGTTACACCAAATCAATTTAAATGTAATTGATAGATTACAGTCAGTGTATTTAGTCAGTCTTGTCAGCTGCATTTGAGTTACAGTTCACAGCCAAAGATAAGCATACTCTCCACTGAGCACACAAGTTAACCTCCTGTCATTTAATGAGGTTACCAATTCACTAACAAGATGATCTCACTAACAATCTGAGCCTGCTGCTGCCACAACTGTGCAACACACACACACACACACACATACACACACACACACACACACACACACACACACACACCTACACACACACACACGTACACACCTACACACCTACACACACATACACATACACATACACACACACACACACACATACACACACACACAAAAACAAACACACAAACAGTAGACCAGCACACAACAAATCTTCCAAAACACAAAAAATGAGAATGATTAAAAAAAACAGCAACAGAAGTACACTACAGAGCTTAGGCAGTATCTTAAGTGTCAAAAAAATAATTATTTTCTGCTTAAAAACAACATTTCATTATCAGTCTTTTGTAGTTTTAGCTGTAGTGTAATGTATTGAGCTGTTGAATTGCTGTTCTTCAGAGGGCAGTTAAAAAGTAAAAGGGGATTGCCACAGAGAATTGGTTGCTCTGTTTTCAGGGTAAATTAAAGGCCTGTCTCAGAAGCGCAGAAGCTCAGTCTTTTGTACAGACCTGATTTTCTCCAAACAGTGTGGGTAGAGGTGGGAAGCACAGCCCACATCGCTCACTGCTGTACAAGCTAAAGCACTCTACATGAATAATTTGATGCTCCCAGCTCCGGTTTGGCCTTGCTCCTCTCTCCCTTTCACCCACGCAGTGATGTTATGCTGATTCAGGAGCAGGAGGGGAGTTTGGCAGTGCCAAAATGGCAGGAAGAAAGCTGTGGAAGAAAAATGTTCATTAGTATCTAATTTAGGTATTTAATTAAATTCATCTTTTTATGAACATGCCCAAAAGATAGCAAAAGGTGATTGGTGGTTTTGAGGAAGTTGGAAGTGAGTAGAGACTTGTGAGTCTGGAGGTTTTTTTAGAGCTAAAGATCATATGATCAAATGCATGCATGTGTGCTTAGAGTACACACACATACTGTAGCATGTCTTCACTGTCTATATTGTAGCATAGCTTCAGTAGTTTTGTGTCGTTCTTTTGTGCACTAGCTGTCCACAAACACACAGACGCTTGTGTCTGACATTTCTACACAACAATTTTTATAATTTTTTTTTTTTTACATGTGAAAGAACCGGCACAGATGGCTAGTTCTGAGAATACTGCACCTGTTTATATATAGATTCTCAGTAGAGCACTTGAGAGAGATGAAAACAAAGCAAGTCTGTCTGTTTGGCATGCCAGTGGCTCCATCCACGCTTCGTGGTCTCAGTTGAGACAACAGATTCCTGCAGGATTTGGGCACTCTAAGAAAGGTTTCATCTTGAACAGAAAAATCAGTAAAAATAGCATGTCACAAATAGATTTCAAATGTTGTTTTTTATACTTTGGCAGTTATTGAATTTAAGAATGTCACTTTGTCAACTTAAGTGGGTGAATTTAAAATTCTTATTATTATTATTATTAGTTGTAGTAGTAGTAGTATTATAATTAAAAGTAGTACTTCTCATGACCACTGTGGGTTTTACTGTCCTTGAAAGGTTTTTAAACTGGCCAGGTGTTTGCTGTTCTTTTATGCTGAAAAAGGTTGGAGCTGCTCACACCATGCCAGCATTATCTTTATTGATTTGCATATTTTCATGATTCAAATGGCATCTTTTCTAAAATAGGGTGTTGCATAATTTAACAGTTATGTTGCATTAGGGCTCTAATTGAGTTATTACTAACAGAAAATCAGTTGAAGCCATCAGGTACCAAAGCATTAATCAACATTTTCATATTAATCGACTGGGTTTGAGTATAACCACTCTTTCACCACAGTAGGCAGCTGTTTTGGGGACACCCACTTTCTGCAAGCTACCTGTCCAGCATGCAGCAGAGGACAACATTAGTCTGCTGGTCAAAACATCTAGCATCTAAAGACCCAAGAGCTGCCTGAATTAATTAATCAATTAATCTATTGACATAAAATTAATAAAATAACATGTCACCTTGGATTCAGGAAATTAAACGATTAGTAGATTGACAGAAAATTTATCTGCAACAATTTTGATAATCGTATAATAATTCAAATGTTTTTTAGGCAAAAATGGAAGAAATTCACAAGTGCAAGCTTCCCAAATGTGAATAATTGCTTGTTTTCTTAGACTTCTATGACTGTAAACTGGATATCTTTTAGCAATTTACTTTGATTGATAGGCATCTATTAATTTAATGAATATAAATGTACATACATATTACATTTTACGTTGCCATCATCTTCACCACTACCTTCTTTCATCCTCACATCATCATCATCATCATCATCATCATCATCACCATCACCATCACCATCATCATCATCATCATCTTTATTCTACTACCACCTTCTTCTTCCTGTTTTTCCATCCACCCCCTCGTCCTCATCCTTTTTCATCCTCTTCTGTTAAATTTTAGCTGTAGCTTTGTCTCCTACCACCCACATCAGCGAGTGGTTAACCATTGTTTGTAGATTCTTTTGCCTTCACAAATCACTTTTACAGAACAAATAGTAGAAGTTGTTCGAAAAAGAATCAACAAGTATCTCTGAGAAGAGCTAATAATCATTCGCTCACTCACACTGATTAATTTCTCTACACAGGTTTAGTATGAAGAGAACAAGAAGACAGGCTGTGTGCTACACCTAGGACTTATCACTGTAGACTTGTCTGGTCTCTGGGGTCTCTAGATTAAGATCCCTTTCTAGCTGTTAGGATGTTCCTTGCTGCCTAAATAATTGTCATTGTCTGTCTATCTCTCTTTGTCTTGCTTGTAATGCAGGCTTTTCTCAAATATTTATATCATTCAAACAGGATACTCTTCTTTTGGCTACCCACTGTATCAGACATGTGACATAAGTGGCACAATACCACAAACCTGATGAGTACTGCTTGTATTTGATAGTTACAATATGTGGTAAATGTAAGGGAATTTTTGCTGCCTTCTCTGGCAACTGGACAGTTTGGACCACAGTAAATATGTTCTCTGATACAGCCGTAGAACACTTGCATTGTTCTTATTTTTTTGCTGTTTCTGGGCATGTTATTGAATTCCAACTTCTATATTTAGGCTGTTGCAGTACACACATATAAAATAAATTATTTATTGGAAGGATGGAAGTCAGCAATAGGGGTGTTTTGCAGGTTAATTTTTTTGTTGTATGAGTCTGTGACACAAGACCACTCCCTCTTCAAGCCTCAGCCACAGATGATTATCATAGTAACGGAGCCACCATCTCTCATTTCAGCTTTCATAATCTGTAGTTTAACCATTTGTTTCTATTGAGCAGTTTCATTGATCTGCTGCATTGACCTGAAATTGAATTTGTTTATGTAAATATCCTGTTTTTATTGGATTTTCTTCTAGATTTTCGGCAGTGTCGGAATATATAACTACCTCCAAACATAGGGCTCAGTGAGGATGACTGTGAAGGTCGAATGCTTCTCTTGCTGATAGAAGGTTTGCTGTGGGCTCCATTAAAGGTCTAATGATAGTTGCACCCCTCCAATCTAATTACACATGTGTTCATTTGTATTCACACAGCACTCTTCCTCTGTGTACCAAGTTTGAGAGTGCTTAATGTTGTCAAATGATCTTCACAGACAGATGAAAGGCCTTGTTTGGACAGGCTTTCAAATATTCAATTGTTCAGACTCACTATGCTGAGTCCTTGACACTCTATGACCGTTTATAAAGCAACATCTTTCTGATTTTATTTATTTAACAGACACATGTATACTTCTGTATGCATCAATTATCATAAATACTAATCAAATAATGTGTTGACACAGTGTCAATATTGAAGTAAACACCAATGTTGAGCATACTTTGTGTATTAAGTCAGATTGCTGCCCATTCAAACCTTTTTTGTTTGCCTATTGTTGGCACTAGGTGGCATCAAGGTGACAGACTCTATGAAGAGTTTTAGTATTTTGTTTCACTGAATAATGTAAAAGATTAATAGAGTTACAAGAAATCATGTGCTTTTGCCTGATTATTCTGTTTTCAGCATGGCTGATTGCTGTTCTCTTTGTGCTTGTTTTTCAGAAGAAAGAATGGCTGTGCTTAAACTGCCAGACACAGAGGGCTCTGTCAGGAAGCTTGGGAGATATTCCAGGTCCTGTTGTACAGCCCATGGGATCCCCCCGGCCACCTGCTACAGCCAATCAACAACCACCTCAACAGAAAGGGCCCAATCAACTTTCAGGGCCTAGGCCCTCAGGTCCTCAACAACAACAGAAACCACCGGGTCCCCAAGTAAGTGGCCCTCTCTCTCCTGTGAAACAGGCTGGGCCTGCCCCTCATACCAAGGGGCCCAGCCAAGCTCCCCCTCAAACCAAGGGTTCCGCCCAACCTGTTCCTCAACCTAAGGGTTCAACTCAGCCACCTTCCCAAACTAAGGGTCCAACACAACCCTCAGCTCAGAGTAAGGGACCTCAAATTAAAGGTCCTAATCAATCACATGCTCAAAGTAAGGGCCCTGTTCAGTCCGGTAACCAAATAAAGGGCCCAAACCAGGCCAAAGGGCCGATTCAGACAAAGGGATCTGCTGCGCCCTCTGCTCAGACTAAGGGCCCTTCTCATCCTTCTGGTGCCAAGGCGTCATCCACCCCTGGTAAATCCACAGCCAACCATGCCAAGGCCTTTCCCACCCCATCAAAAACAGTACCTGCTCAGTCTAAACCCACAGGTAACAACCAGGCCCGCAAACAGCCGCAGAGCCAGGAGAAGACTAAAGTCACATCTAAATCTCTTAAAGAAGACATCAAGGCCTCACCAAAGAAGGCATTGTCAGAGACTGTCACTTCACCAAAAGACATGAAGATAGCTGAAGATGCACAGAAGTCAAGACACCATGAAGTGAGCTACCTGAAACTTCTTCGCCTTCACCTGTTACTCTTGATTCACCATTATGATTTTTTTTTACTCCATTCGAATAATTGTAACAATTTCTCATCATCATCACCATCACTGTTATTGCCTTCATTATATCATTATCTCGTTTTTTTATTCTTCTTCTCGTAATTATAGTTTTTGTAGAAAACATGTTCTCTATTTTTAGTATTGCTCTTATCCAAACACCTGTTCTTTTTCTATTTTTCCTTCTTCATAATTATCAGTTCCATAATTCCTCTGTCATAATTTTTACCTTATTGTTTATTCTCACCACTGTTAAAGTTAGTTAGTAGTAGTTATCATAATCTTGTACCATTATCACTAATGTAATAATAGTTATAATGTTGAAATCATTTTCCATCAATGTAACTTAATACATCATCATAATTTCCTTATCTTTATTATCATCATCATCATCATCCTTATCATTATCGTCATCATTATCATCATCATTTTCTCAGTGGCCATTCCTCATCTTCATCCTGTTCCCCCACTTCTTCACATGGTTTTGTAAATTTTATTTAATTTGTATCAAACACAAGCTTTTTGTTTAATGTGACACTTTGTGATGATATTTTAAGCATTCTAAGCATGTTCGTTATTCTTCAACGGTTCGAAGAATGCAATGGAGAATGCGTCAAAGATTGCAGTCAAGCATGTAACCAAATGACATTTGTCTGTAGATGTTCGTATGTTCAACTGTCTGTTATTATCACTCCGTGTGTCAGTGTATTTATCCATCTGTGTGTACATAACTTTGAAAGGCAAACTCAACCCAAATCAATAGAATATGATCGATAAATGTAATAAACTACAACATAAAATTATGAGATTATGCTGTTGTTCTTTTTATATATTTAAAGAATATAAAGTGTTGATATTAAGTTAGTCTTTTCTTTTTTTCAAGATAACACAATGTTGCTTGGTGGTAACTAAATGCAAAGTCAAATTTACTTGATTTCTAAAACCAATATGTAAAAGACAGTACATATTTGGGTTGATTTTAGCCTAAAGTGTTACTATATGTGTTTTCTGATTAAGGGTTTATTCTTTCTGATGTAATTATTCTCTAATATCTTAGTATTAGATTTTTTCAACTGCATTGGGTCTAGTGCATTAATTTTACTCCCTATTGTCTAAAAATGCTCATGAAAATGTCACTGCGGATGAGATCAATGAAATAGTTGGATAAAAGGTGTGCACTGAAGCTTGTAATAGACCTTGCCATGAGTTAATTTTAGAAAAAAATTATGTATTTTTTGCTTCTTACCATTCTCATTCTCTTTCTCTCTTTCTTCAGGATTACAACAAATCAAGTACACAGAGTTTAAGTGACACTGGATACTCCTCAGATGGGATCTCCAGCTCTCATGGGGAGATTACAGGCCAGATCCAGGAAGAAGGAAACAAACTCAATGAAAGAGGTGCTTCCATCCCCTCAGAAATCACCAAACTAGAGAGCTCCATGAAGCCTCTACTAGAGTCAAAGACTGCCTCAGACCAGAAGCACAGGCCACATTCACTGTCTGTAGGAAAGGACCGGGACTACAGTCCTGATGACGATGCAGCAAGAGATGAATCAGAGGATGAACTCAGTTGTAAGCTTCGCCATGATTATGTGGAGGACAGCAGTGAAAGTGGTCTGTCCCCATTGCCAGTAAGGCAGAAGAAGTCACATAAAGATTTAACAGATGAGGAGTTCATGAGGAGGCAAATTATGGAGATGAGTGCTGATGAAGAAGAGTTGGAAGAACACGGAAACCAGAAAACTAAAAGGGGACATAAAACCGGTGGGGATTTGAGCAAAGAGAGACGACGACTCTCTCACCATTCTAATAGTTTTGAGGATGAAACTAAGACATCAGAGGGTGCTTATAAGGCAAATGAAGAGGAAGATGTTGTAATGGCTGGAGGCCTTCGGCGATTTAAAACCATTGAGCTGAATAACACCAACAGCTACAACCGAGACATGGAGCTCAGTACTGAGCATGACCTACGAGAACCTGAGCTAGAAATGGAGAGTCTGACTGGTTCTCCTGAAGAGCGGTCCAAGGGAGAATATTCATCCACCCTACCTGCCACCACTCCCAGCTACACATCTGGAACATCCCCAACATCTGTGTCGTCCATGGAGGATGACAGTGACAGCAGCCCTAGTCGTAGGGCAAGACTAGAGGAGGCAAAGCAGCAGAGGAAAGCTCGACATCGGTCCCATGGGCCACTGCTGCCCACTATTGAGGACTCATCTGAGGAGGATGAGCTCAGAGAGGAGGAAGAACTACTTAGGGAACAGGAGCAGATGAGAGACCTAGAACAACAGAGGATCCGAAGCACTGCTCGAAAAACAAAGAGGGATAAAGAGGAGCTACGGGCACAGAGGCGCAGGGAAAGATCCAAAACTCCCCCCAGTAATCTCTCTCCTATTGAGGATGCATCGCCAACAGAAGAGCTGAGACAGGCTGCAGAGATGGAGGAGCTTCACAGATCATCATGTTCTGAATACTCACCATCTATGGACTCAGAGGCAGAAGGCTTTGAAATGATTAGTGGAAAGCTTTACAAATCAGGAAATGAATACAACCTTCCAACCTTCACATCCCTCTACTCTCCTACAGAAAAGACATCAGCAATGTCACCCTCTGATAAAACACTAAAAAGTGCAGAGGAGGTCTATGAGGAGATGATGAAGAAGGCGCAGCTCATGCAGAGGCAAGGACAAACAGTTCATCAGCAGATTGGTGCCCCTCAGCCTGACAGTAAACATCATCTTGAAGCAGGAACTGTTCTAACCCCCGGCTCAAGCCCAACACAGGTTACTGCACCTATGTCCTTCTCCACAACAGGCAGTGATCCAAGAATTTCAGGAATTCATGCAGCACAGCATCTATCAAAAGAAACACAAAATAGGATGATGACACAGAGTGCCAAAATTGAAGGTGTTGTTGGAGTTGCCACAACCAAAGCCCAAGTCAGTCAAACTGCCGCAACTCGACAGGCTGGTAGCACAGTGCCTGCCAGCAACAGAACAGGCTCCCAGAGGCCAACAAAGGCATCACCTGACCCTGGAGCATCCTCCCTAACCTCCAAAGTTTTCTCCCTTTTCAAGGGTCCCAGCCCCCCAGTCTCCCCCACCACTTCTCCGGCACAAAGCCCAACGCATATGCCGTCCGTGAGACCCACTGGTAGTAGTGGCAGGCAGCTGCCATCTTTGCCTGGTGGTCCTACATCAGCTGCAGCATCCCAAGGAGCCCAGGCATCTCAAAGGGCAATGTCACCACGTCTTACACGACAACAGTCCTCTCAAGATTCACCTGTGATGGTGATAACATTAGGCTCTGATACAACTAGCCCTGCCAAGCCACTTACTGTAAATTCATCCACTTCCCCTTTGTCATCACCAACACAAATCAGCTGTAAAACCTTGTATAGCTCCCAGTCCCCTTCGACAAGTTCCCCAACGTCACCACAAATGCATCCTTTACAACAGTCTCCTAAACATTCTTCACAGATGGCTCAAAATGTTGAAAAAGTAAATGTTGGTATTAGCACCGTGACCACAACTGCACATAGTCGTGGATCTATGGAAAATATATCTTTGTGTAAAATCTCAAATATTCCAGGCACTTCAAAAGTTGTGGGTCAGGGCCAAACACATCCAAGCACTAATGTGGTGGATCTGAGAGCCCCATTGAGGCCAGCTCCAATTATAATGACAGACCAAGGGATGGACCTAACATCCCTTGCCTCTGACACAAGAAGATACTCTTTAGGAGCAGAGCAGCCATCTGGTCGACACACAGCAGTGCAACCTCTTATTATGAACCTTAATGCACAAGAGCAACCACACATATCTATGTCAACACCGACCACAGTTAGCATCACAGTTGCAGGTTCGATGTTCATGTCCCAACCCAAGCAGCCAATTGTGTATGGAGATCCTTTGCAAAACCGTGTGGATTATGGGCAGGGTGTTGGATCAGCTGTGTGTTTAACCCAGAGTAAGCCACCAGTTACTGACCCTTCTATTCCGAAAATTGATGCCTGCCTGGAAAACCTGGGTATACAACAGCAACAACTGCAGTTACAGCAGCAGAAGCTCCTGCAGCAGCAACAACTTCTTGAGCAGCAGCTCCAGCAGCACCAACAGCAATCCTCTTTTGCTCGTTACAATTTAGCTAATCAGGTCCAGCCACTGCTGATGAAAAAAGATCTTGTAGTGAGCCAAACAAGCAGTGCCCAGCCTGTAGTGACTGCTAGTGCCATTCCCAGAGTATCCCCCCTGGCTCCACCGACAGTGTCTGGGGGTCCTGCTTCTAATGCAACTCATGAAATCTATGGTGGAGTTGCCTTGGAGCTAAAAAACAAGCCAACCATAATGAATTTATCCACAGGTAAACCACATGTTATGATGGTGCAACTTGATGAGAGTAGCACATCACAGGAGGGCACAGTCACTCAACTGGTAAAGAGAGAGGAACCTCCTCCCCCTCCTCAGGTCTTAGATCTCACTGGACAGATCAAACCAGAAAACCAGGTGGCTTGTTGTGATGTTGTTTACAAATTGCCCTTTGCTGGTTCCTGTTCAGGGTCATTCACCCAGAAGCCTACAGCAGCATCCTCAGATAAAACCCCCACCACTGAAACATCTCAAGCCGTCCACCCTCCCCATCCACCACACTACAATGTCAGCCAACAACAACACCAGCCCCAAGCTACACAAGGAGTGACAGAGGAACATAAACAATATCAACCACCCATAGTCTTCTCAGGAAGAATACAGCCCTCCATGTCTGATACTAATCTGCCTTCCATGACTGATGCTAGTCACTATCAGAGTAATGTCCAAGGGGGTCTGGCAGTAGATCTTAGCAACATGAATCAGGCATATGATGGTGGATACCTTGGCATGGGAGCACAGTATGGATCTTACACAGACTTGCGTCACCAAGGAGATTTTGCAGCCCCATCATTACCCCTTCGTCGATATGGCTCCATGTCAAACATAAATTCAGAATATGCCTACAGCTCACGTGACCTAGCAGGATCACAGGACTCCAGTCTGGCTCAGTACAGTGCAACCACCGCGAGGGAAATCAGTCGCATGTGTGCAGCTCTTAACTCTGTGGACCAGTTTGGAAGCCGGTATGGAACTAACCCTGAACTTGTACCATATGGGGCTGGAAGGGGTGGAACTTTAGCTAGGCTAAATCTTCAGCAAAGCTTAGCGTCAATAAGAGCAAACCTACTGTATGGTCCAGATGGAAGACCAACTGCAAATGGCCAAACGCTAACAAACCTGATAAATGCTAGACAAGCAAGTATACGCGCCTTGTACCCTGCTGCTATGAGAGGAGGTGATGGCATGATATATTCCACCATAAACACTCCCATAGCCTCTACTTTGCCAATTACCACCCAGCCTTCCTCTGTCATGCGTCCCATGCCTAGAGGAATTTACAGACCATACCCTACAGGTGTAACTGCTGTACCATTGGCTAGCCTCACTAGGTTGCCTCAATTGACTCCCAGAATGCCTCTGTCCACACAGGGACAATATCCCTACCCTCCTCCAAACCAGTATACAACTTCAGGCACACCATCAGGAAGTGTGCCTGATGCAAGCAGCTCACATCAGGAAACCCCTGTATACCTTGGAAAGCCTTTAACAACAGTTGCTGCGCAAACGGCTGCAACCATTCCACCAACCCAACCTGCAGCACAATTAGGAATACAAAGTATACCGGCAACTGGTATGCAAACCACGGCAGATCAGCAGACAGACCGTAGTCAACTCACCTCACAGAGTGTTTCGTCCCTCTCTCAACCTCAAGGCCAACCTCCAACTGTCCAGCCAGTGCAGGCTCAAATGCAGCCACAACAGTTACCTACTCAAACTGAACCTTTATCTTTGACTCAAATCCAACCACAAGTTCAACCGATCAGTCAGCCTCAACCATTAGGTCTGCCACAGGGCCAGCCACAAGCAACAACCCACAGTACTGCCCTAGCACAGAGTTCCAAACTTTCTCCTCCTATAGATACCCAGAAAGGTAAGGAAGATGATAGACTAAGTCAGCAACAAGAGCACATGCTGCAGCTAGAGCGAGAGCGTGTTGAACTGGAGAAATTCCGACAGCTGCGTCTACAAGAGGAGCTTGAAAGGGATCGTATGGAGCTTCAGCGACACAGAGAAAAAGAACAACTACTCGTTCAGCGTGAGATTCAAGAACTTCAGACAATCAAACACCAAGTCATACAGCAACAGCAAGCAGAGCGGGAGACACAGCTCATTATGCAAAGAGAACAACTGGCCCAGCAGAGAATGCAGCTTGAACAAATTCAGTCTCTGCAACAGCAGCTCCAGCAGCAGTTAGAGGAGCAGAAAAGGCAAAAGACAGCAGCAGTGGAGGCAGCAGCTGCTGCTGCTGCAGCAGAGGCAGCTGCCGCATCAGCAGCAGTGGCAGCAGCAGCAACGTCTGCCCAGGGTGCTATACAAGGGGTAGTTGTTGGAGGAGGGCCCCCTCAAGGGTTTATTATCTGTGACCAGAGTGGTAGAGTTATTCAACAAGATGGACAGAGTGTTCAGTTTTGGCAAGATGGACAAGTGGTCCAAGCCGTGGTGGCTGCTCGACCTATTCATAGTTCTGCCTCTGAAATGTCTTTGAGAAGCAGTGACAAACAGGCTGATTCCAAGATTATGAAAAAGCAGAATTCCATGCCTCGGCTGAGGGATGGTACAGAGGAGGACTCTGTGAAGAGGATTACAGACAGCTGTGTGCAAACAGACGATGAAGATGGAGAGGACAGATTCATGAACAGGCGTAGAAGAACAAGGCGTATTGCGGACTGCAGTGTGCAGACTGATGAGGAGGACCAGGGAGAATGGGACCAGCAACCAGTAAGGCGCAGGAGATCACGTGTATCCAGGCACTCTGAATCCAGTGGCGAGGCTAAATCAGAAGGATCATCTAAAGTGGCTTCTGCAAGTATAGCTATTCAGACCACCAATGATTCGTCATGCCAAACAGAGCCTGACCAATTAGGCAGGATTTCACCTGCGATCCACATTACCATGGCAGAGACCTCAAAGGTTGACCTATTACATTACATAGCAGCCCCTGAAAGGACCCACAAAGGAGAGAGTCTGGCCTGCCAGACAGAACCAGAATCTCAGTCTCATGGTGTGGTTGCCCCTCAGCTGAGTGTCCCTACAACTATCAGTCCATACTCCACAAGTCTGCATATGGTAGGTGCGAACACATCTGACCCAACCTCTCCAAGACTCCAAGGAGTTGCCAAGTTTGAGAGGAGGAAACCAGACCCCCTTGAAATAGGCTATCAGCAGCAACAAAATGAGTCTCCATCTCGCCAGCCCCCAAAATCTCCCCAGGTGCTATACTCCCCTGTATCTCCATTGTCTCCTCATCGCATGCTGGAGACAACATTTGCCTCCCAGGAGAAACTTAACAAGGCCCATGTTACACCCCAGCAGAAATCCTTTACTGCTGAATCACCCCAACGCCACCAGACCCTACCAAGACCCATAAAAAGTGTGCAGCGCTCCATGTCGGATCCGAAGCCTCTCAGCCCCACATCAGAAGACCCTGCCAAGAACAGGTTTTCCCCATATCATCAGCAAGCTCTTTCCAACAGTCAGGTATGAAACCATCACTTTTTCTTTAAACATAATTAATCCATTTTTCCCCCAGTTTATGAAGGCTTACCAAAGTAATAATGAATAAAATACAAATATAAATATTAGTGGATGTTTGTATTCAGAAAAAATATCTATTTTTAAAAGTGCAGCACCCCCACGAAGTCTTTTGATTACACACAATGTGTTTTTGCGGCTCATATACAATATGATGTCAGGTTTACCATAGCTATTTGCATAGGATAACTTGCTGTATGTTTTTGTAGGAAAATAATTAATTGCATCATTTAAATGTTATACATTTGGAGGTACCAGTGCTACCAGTACCAAACCCTGTCAATTAGCATGTAGAGAGCGTTAGATATTAGCAATATAATTAATATTGCTAATATCTATATTATTAATTAATTAAGGTAATATTTGTAATTTAATTGTCTAAGAGTAAAACAGATATTAAAATAAAAATGTGTATTTAGAATATGCTTTGTGTGGACATAGATGATGACACAGGATCTGGCATAGAGAAGGTGACAGAATGTTCTCATGAGAGCAGCTGTCCATGCCAGAAAAGCTTTTCCCATCATCCTTTACTGCTGTATCTCCTCCCTTATCTTCCCTCTTTCTACTCTTTTAGTCCATTTTCCTCTCTCTCATTCTCTCTCTCTCCCACTTTCTCTTTGCCATGTCTTCTATATATGGCAAACCTTTAAGAGTTGCCAGGGGGAGATACAATGTGGAAGAATCTGGGTGGTGCTTTGCTGTCTTCCTGATTGTTAGCAGCTGGTCAAAGTAAATTAACATTGCTCTGTATTTAGACTAAAATTAGACTGAGAAATGTAGAAATCAGATTTCAAGCATTTCACACATTTGCAAGTCTAGTGTAATCTTTACTGTTAGTGTTTCATATACCGTTGTCTTGTGGATACTTAAAAGAATCCCCATGGATCTACCCAACACAACTATTTTGTAAGTATTAGACTAGCATAGGTATATTTTTAAGTTGTTTTTATTTGTAATGTTTGACTCTTCTTACCTGCATGACATACATAAATATTTTGAGCAATGTATTTTGAGTAATAAGTAACATATTTCTGAAAATACATTTCAATGAAATCAATGGACTGAAGACACAATTGCTTTACTATACTCAGATGTCTCATTGCGGTTTGAAAAAAATGTTTAACCAGTTCATGTTTTACATTACATTTACTAAGCTACTCAAACACACATTTCTTTTTTCTATTTTCTAATAAATAAATACAAATCTGGCATTCATGCATCCAACATTTAGCATATTAGATTAGATGTATTGAAAAAACACAACTACTGCTTGCTCAGACACACTTATTGTTACTGATACATATTTGACTAATATGTAATCATTGCAGTAACAATGTAATGAATGATACTTGGTCACTATAATAAGTAACATGGTTAAATTGTACCCCTAATTGGAACCACTAATAATATTATGTAATATATTTGTGTTGACGACACTGACTGCCATTACTAAACATTTTACAGTACTTAACATTGTTAATTAGGTATAAAAATGTAAAATGTCACTTAGTGTCTTTGGTTTCAGAAAAAAAAAACATTTTCATCAATATAATGAAATCATACTATGTTAATTAAATTACCGATGAAGCTAATGCTCCCGTAGTACGTATGTTAATTAACATCAAGTTGTCTGACAACATATCAGGCTGCATAGCTCTTTACTTAGGCCTAGGGATGAAGAAATGTGCAGATCCTCTGTGAGTACCCAGTGTACAGTAATGAGTCTAATTTACATAAACACATTCTGTTTATAGCTCAGTGTTTGCTGATGTGTCTCTTCTCTTAGCAGATGGCCTCCCTGCAGCAGCAGCAGAACTCTCTGATGAGGAAAGTAAAGAGGACTCTCCCTAGTCCCCCTCCAGAGGAGACTCCGCTCCCCATTGTTACTCCAGCACAAATGTACAGCTCTCCTGGCATGCCCCAGAGGGTCTTACCCAGACCTTCCCAAGGAGTCACCAAGGCTGGCCTGCTGAGTGAACTGAAAGCTGTGGAACAAGAGTCGTCGAAGCTCCGTAAGCAGCAGGCTGAACTGGAGGAAGAAGAGAAAGAGATTGACGCCAAGCTACGTTACTTGGAGCTAGGCATCACCCAACGTAAAGAGACCATGGTGAAGGAGAGGGAGAGGAGAGAGATAGCTTACCTGAGATGTATGGGTGATGCTCGGGACTACATGTCAGACAGTGAGCTCAATAATCTCAGGATGGCAGCTGCAACAGGAACCTTTGATTCCAATGGTCTGCTAACAAGGCCCAACACTGCACCATTGAGCCAATTTACTAATGACCTCAATTCAACCTCCCAGTATCCCTCAACCTCATCCTATATGGCTTATCCATACCCTCCAAGTCAACCATCAACACAGCAACCAAGTTCTGCTTATCAACAGATAGGTTTCCAACCTCCTCAGTACCCTTCATCCTCTGCACCCCAGCCAGGAACATTCCAGCCCCATCCCCCACCAGGACCTGGCTACCAGAATCAGGGAACCTATTCCTCCCGCATGTATGCCCAGTCCTCCTACCAGCCAGACCTTGGCATGCAGCAGCATGGTCTTCAGGGTTTCCATCCACCTGGTCAGCCTATGCCAGGGCAGAGCCTTCCTTACCCGAGCCATAGCTCCTACCAACCTGTTCTCTCCTACCAGCCCCAGGCAGAGATCCTTACAGTCCATCAAAGACCGCGGCAAACCTCTTTGGCTGACCTCGAGCAAAAACTCCCCACCAACTATGAGGTCATCAGCAACCCGGCAGTGTCTGTGGCCACATCAGCTCCAGATACCAACTTTGGTTCAGTCTACAGCAATGCGTATGGACAATACCGCCCCCCTGAGCCTGGCCTGTCTCACTCTGTAGAGAGCCCCACCTCTGCTTATGCTTCAGATGGACTCTACACCTCTAACCTGGAGCAGAATATTCCTCGGAACTATGTCATGATTGATGACATCAGTGAGTTGACAAAAGACAACACTAGCCAACCTACTGATGCTCTAGGCCATCCTGTGGGAGGGCGGTATCGCAGTGAGAATGGTCCCGCACGTGGGAGTGCCTATGGTAGGCCTGAAGATGAGCCTGTGGATGCTTATGGCAGACCAACAGGCACAACGGGTTACCAAAGTACAGCGGACGGTCGCACCAGCACCACAGTGAGTGGAGGCTCTTCCTATTACTATGATGATTATAAACACACATCACGAAGCAGCTCCAGTAGCCACAAACTCACTCCCAAGAATCTCGCCCCTGCAGTAGTCTCATCTAAACGTAGTAAGCACAGGAAGCAGGGAATGGAGCAAAAGATTTCCAAATTCTCCCCTATTGAGGAAGCACGGGATGTGGAGTCTGACCTTGCCTCTTACACAATGACGACATCAACAGGAGGGAGCTGTACTGTTGTGTCCAGATCCAAGAAGCTTCAGGATGATGTCACCTATGGGATGAAGAAGAATGCATATGACCAGCAGAAATATTACGGCACCAGTCGTGAGGGTCTTGAGGAGGACGACCGCATGTACAGCTCTGGTAGGTCCAGGTCTACTGGATATGGTATGGACAAGATTTCATCCAGAGATGCCACAGGCCATAGAAGTAAATCCTACGAGAGGGATGCCATGGAGCGGTCTCAGAGAAGCAGCCGCGGAAGACCCCCTATGCGTAGCCAGAATTCAGAAGAGGAGAGCCCACTCAGTCCTGTTGGGAAGCCCGTAGGCATGGGAAGAGGCTCTGTCATACCAGACGCCCATGATGTAAGGAACCAGTATGGCTCCAGTCATTCATTGCCAGATGTGCAGGACCATCACAAGAAGGACCTTCCCAGAAGTCATGTCTATAAACCAGACGACTCTTACCTCGTAGATGACATGCACTGTGCTGTTTCTGACAGTGAAGGTAACTGGTGCTGAGTAATTTGTACTGCCTGACATTCGTTCCTCCCACCTTTAAAGTGTGCTGGAAAGGGACTGCATGCCAAATGTGAGAAGAGCACCATTCTTTGTTTGTCTTGTCTTTTTTATGGAATGTTTCCTGTGTCCTGAAATTAAGCCAAAAATGCTTGTTTTATATTTCTGTTTTGCACGCATAATTTTTTTGTGTGAGGTGATGCCTGTTTTTTAAGTTGTTGGATTTCTCAAAAATGTGCATGGCTCTGGGATTTGGAGCATGTTTTCACAATTATTTTGCATGGCTTCAATGTGCATGCTACTCCTCACCACATAAAAACAATTGACTGATATTGTTTGTTTTGGTTTTAAAAAGCCTATCATTTGGGCCAAGAGGAGACTGATTGGTTTGAGAAGCCACGGGAGGCCCGTTCTGATCGCTCAAGACATCATGGAAGTGGAAGTCACTCATCCACAGGTAGGCGTAGTAAACACACCTACCATGATTATGACGAACCTCCAGAGGAATACTGTCCCCCTGATGAGTACAACCAACAACGGCACCCCTCCTCCACATCATCACGGGACCACCGTCACCACGGCAGCAGCTCTGGCAGACACAGCTCTTCTCGCCACTCCTCAGAGGATCCTAGGTCCTCCCGTTCTTCCAGGACACACCCCAAAGACCCACCTGGCCGCTCTGATGGCAGAAACTCCTCATCTACACAAAGAAGGAGCGGTCCAGACTCCCGTTCCGCCCAGGAAAGCCCCCGGAACTCAGGTGACTTCTCTCGAGACTCTGGTCTTCACCACGGCACCGGAGGACGGAGCCAGAGACCCCAAGGAGATCGCACAGCCTCCAGGAGGCAGGAGCCCTCTCCAGCAGGGCCTAAACCACAGCAGCAGCCTCCTCAGGGCCATGCTGGGCAGCAGCGGTCTGGTGGTCAGGGTCAATCTGGGAGACATCTAGGACCTGAACCACTCGATGGTACCCAGCAGGCCCAGCAACAGCATCACCAGAGTACACAACAGCAGCAGCAGCAACCACAGCAGCACAGTCAGACCCCTCAGAGCAACCAACCTACAACAACTGCAGGAGTTGGACCTGCACAGCAGCAGCCCAAATCCAGCCAAGTGCCACCACAGGGACGGCAGCCAGGAGTAGGATCTGCAGCTGGGCAGCCTGCTACCACAGTCGTGAGTATCCAAAGCTTTGTTTTACTTTACCTAGTACATTAAATGTCTTTGTTTTTATAAATGTTCTACTTGAAAACCTGTATTGTGTGACATATTGCCAAGTGGCTAGTTATGATGACAGATAATAATCCTATGGCTGTGAGTTTTTTTGATTATCTAGATTGGATTATATTTTGGGATTACATTTAAAATATACTCTAATAATAGTAGCAAGCTGCCCTACTACCCTAACTCCTTATTTGTTTCTGTTTAATTAATAACAGGCTAAAATGGATACTACACCTGCAGCAGCAGCCACAGGAATGAAACCTACAACAGGAGTCCCTGTAGGAGCACCACAGCCTACCAAAATAGCTACACCCCCTCTAACAGGCATTGGTATGTCTCAGGTCCTTCATTACCATAAACCACTAACTGAACACAGGGAAATGACGACATAAGTGATGGTTATGTTATTTGTTATTCGCAGGATCCAAGGCTGCGCCTGTTGGGATAGGTAGTAAACCTGTAGGTATAGGCAGCGCTGCAGCAGGACAGGCACCCGCTGAAGGGGAAAATGTTCTCACCAAAATCCTGCAAGGAGGGGCAGCAGAGCAGGCGGGAAAACTGGGAGACGGTACAGTCGTGAAAAAATAAATGTTTAAGAAACTGAAATACAGCTTCTTAGATATCTTTGGGTCTAGCAAATGTTAAATCCACTGTCTTTTAGCTTTTGTTTTAAAAGAAGGTGTTTATTAATACAGCAAAAATTACTACTGGAATATTTTAGATGTCTCACTGTTTGGGTTGGGTAGTTTTTCTCATATTTGCCTCCTTCTCTTTTTCATTCTCACAGCTTTGACTGGCCTTGGGAAGAAGTTCACTTCATTTTGGTGAACTCAAGAGAAGAGGGTAAGTGAAATCAAGTTTCTTTTTATGAAAGTTACCAGCATTAGCAACTCAAAACGTTTTAGTTTTTCTTTAAACTTTTAATTTAGAAGCATGTATTGATTTAAGGACGGGAGGCAACAGATGGCAGCCTGCTTATCAACAGAAACTATGAACTGCTGCCTCGTTGCAAATAACGGGTGTTTGGGGAATGACAATGTATGTATATCACTTCATTTGTTAATTTTGAATCACTGTGCTTTTTATTTTTCAGGGTGTGCAGGGTTGAAATGAGATGGATTGGTAGCTTTGTTCTTGAAAAACCTATGAAACTGCATTAAATACATTTCACATTACAGAGGACATAGAGGAAGAGAGATCCTGAGTGCATCAGTGAGTATCTCATTAACTCTTCTTAATCCCTTGAGAAACGGAAACGTTTTTGGACATGTTTACTTTTGGGGAGTCGGGCATTGTCTTTATGATAAATATCGTGCCACCTGCTCCGCTAAGCAAGTGGAAACCATGTCATTGTAGAAAACTATTTACTTTTGTGACACTTGCATCATGGAAAACAAAGGCACTAATGCAGTAACTTGTTAAACTTTATACCGCTGGTGATACTTTACCTCACTAATTTTTGATTTTGTTAAGTTTTTATTAAGTACACAGAGACTCCAAGCTGTGAAAACATAGGATGCCGTCACACTTTGATTAATCGATCAAGTGTTTTATCAGATGGATATTTGCATAGATTAGCATAGTCCATGTCTGCATAATGAGAAGACTCAAGTGAACTGATGACTAATTAAATGTTGATTGTATATTCGGACTGATCCGCTGTACCTTTCCCTTACCCCAAATTACTGAACAGAGCTGGAATCAAAGGATGCCTTGTCAGCACTGAATTCCCCAGACATGGGCGCACGATTGAAGTGAATTAAATAAGGGTGAATGCTTTGTCAGCATAGTGTTACAAGACATGAGCAGAGCACTGAAGAGGCCTAAAAGTAAGTGGATGCCTTGACAGAACTACAGCCCCAGAATAATGATTGTGGAGATGTCTGATGCCTCATTAGGCCAATGGTAAGTAACTAAAAGCCATTCACATACATCTGTGTGTGTGTACATGTGTATGTGGTCACGTATGTATGTTTGTGTTGCTAGATTATGGGCTGGCTGAATTCATCTTTGTTGTTGGTTTTACTTTTGTTTGCTTCAGCATTGTATTTCATTGGTTCACTGCTGTGTCAGGTCAGGTAATTAAAGTCACAGTCCGCTTTAACTTTCTACTGCATAGGTGAAAGGCCAAAGCCAAGAACAAGGGAGGTTGGAACTAGTACGGTTTACCTTTTGACTCCACAAATGTCCAATAATCTGGGCCAAGCATGCTGGGCTATACTTAGCCTGAGAAGGCTAACTGTGACTTTGCTTTAATGTCACACACGCAAAGACACACAGAGACAAGAGCGCATGCAGGCACACAGAATCGTGACTCATGGTAAGCATCACTCATTACATGGTAGAAGGAGCTAATGTACTAATTCTGCTCAATGGAGCAGAACTACAGAAGCGCAAATAAAGCAGATTTCAATGCACTTAATCTAGCGCACATGCTGTGACTTTGATAGGATGAAATTGCAGCTCATTTGAATGAAGGCTGTCTACGCTACTACACTTGAAGTGTAATCATCTCTGTGTCAGTGGCCAGTCTCAGGACTCACAGACATAGGGGGAATGTGGACATAAACCCGACTCAGTGCTTCTTTGAGCAGCAGGCCAGCCTGCTCAGCCCAGTGGATTATTGCTGATACCAGCAGGCCTGTGATTGGCTGGAGTATTATGGAACGTAAAGGAGAGTCTGGTCTGGAGAATTTGATATTGTGCATTAACAATTAATTTATTTCTGCTAACATTCACATCTTCACTGTCTTTATTTCAGGAGCACAACAACGGCCAATAATGAGGATGTAGTGAAGCGGAAAAGAGAGGGGGATGGGAGACTCTAGTGCTCCTTCCCCTTCTCTCCTAGAGAACGCCTCCTGGGATCTGTGTGACAGTAAAAGGCCTGCTAACTGAAGCACCTGGATATCATGGGAGAAATTCAACGTGTTCGGTGGTGCATGTCTCTTCTTTCAAACAGCTCAATAAAGGAAGCCTCACATCGCCCTCTACAGGGGTTTTAATCGAACACCACTCATGTCTGAGGAGTGCACATCTGGCAAGAATATTTGATTCTACATTGATTTCTTCAGAGCCTTTTAATGCAAAACACTGAAAAAAAGAAGAAGACAGATTTTCATAGGTTTTCCTTGTACCAAAGATACCGATCATAGCCTACAATGACACCACATACCTGGAGTAGACGAGGTGTATCACAGCAATGACAACCAACCTGATGACTCCACCACAATCCTTGAATGCTTGGTTTCTTTGATCTCTACAGTACATTCCAGTATAGGGAATTTGACCCTTTCTTTGAATGTTTTTTAATTTAGCTCTTTTTGTTTTTATGTCTACTGAATGCTTTGTGTAAACGTGGACATGAGAATGCACGCACTAATAATTCAAAAACGGAAAAAAAAAGAAGCCCATATCAGAACTTTTTCACCACCTATGAGATGCCACTAGTCATTAGCTGTAGGTTTTTAGGGAATGGAATTACTACCAGTGTGCCCACAAGTGTGAGATTCACACAGATGAGAGGACCAAATGAAGGAGTGGCCACGGCTCTTTATTAGCCATCACAAAGCCATCGTTATAGTGAGACCCAGAGCTGACACGCTCTCTGGGGCTGACTATAAAAAGGATAAAATCCCAGAAGGGACTTTATTCTTTTTATTGATTTGTCTCATCTTTTAGTTTCTTTTCATTTTTGCCTGATATTCACTGAATGGAAGAGCCTTATTCAGTACACGTTTTTACTTGTATACCTCACATGTTTTAAAATGTCCATGTCATCATGTATTTCTTTTTACACAACTGTATACTATTGTATGTACATAAAACAATTCAGAGATCTAATTATGTAAATTTGTCATTTGTGTATTTATGGAATCACTCTCCAGTGACTTTCTTTTTTTTTTTTTTTGGTTGTGTTTTTCTTTGGTAAAACTTTATATTTTTCACTTTTTATTTGTTTGAATCTGTTTTCTTGCATCAAATAATTTGCTTGTTGATTTTTAAAAGCAATAGCATGCAGAAAATGGTATATAGCACAATCGTATAAATGTTGTTTAAATTAGTGATGGGAAATATCAAACACTTCTGTTGATTAAAAAAAATGTAATACAATTTGTCAGAGGGTTTACAACCACAGTACCGTGTCCTGATGTGCATGTTTTGTGCAGACGCATAAGAGCATGCAGACAGGTACTAACACAGTCACACAGACACTCGCTCTCTCTCTCTCTATCTTCTGCATACACATTTGCACGCACGCGCGCACACACACACACACATTACACTTTCTGCATCCTTGTTACACTTCAGAGCCAAGGTTAATTGTGTTTCCACTGAATAGACCTGTTAACTTCCTGCTGATTAATGAGGTTACCAATTCACCAACAAGATGATCTCACTAACAAGCTGGGCCCACTGCCTCTATTTGTGTAAAGACACACACAAACACACACAACCACATACAGATATAGGAGGGGATGAAAGCAATTATCAATTCAAATGTTCTATGCAATGACTCATTTTGAACCTGGAAGTGATTCTGCCTAAAACAGTTTATTACCATTGTACCATGTATTCACAAGAAAACCACAAAATTGTGAACTAAGATAGTAAAAAAGAAAGGTTCATGAAAATGTTTTTACTTAGCAACTTGTCTCTATGAATTTGAATATTGAACTAGAATTGTTTTTATTTTCGTGGCATGTTTTGACCCCTCACTCCCCACACGGGGGACTTGTTGCCAAAGGGTAAACTGTGTAGACTGTCGGTTTTTGAATGTCCACCATCATGTTGCTTTGAAGCATGGGTTTGCTTGGCTTTGTCTGGCTGTTTGTTAGCCCTCATTCAGTTTTTGTGTGTTTTGGCTGACCTGGGCTCCTCAGTGTTTGGCTTGCAGTGACTGTCCGTGCTGCTATAAACCTGTGATACAGATGGTCAGCACTTCTCATTAATACTTGTCAATGTACATATTGGGTGTCAGTGTAACCTGTGGGGTGAATGGAATGCTTCTATCTGATATTTCATCGTTGATTAAACCACTCAGCAGCCAAGCCATTGGAAAGGTGCATGATTAGATCTTATATTCTTGGAAGTTGTACCTGATTAAAAAAAAAAAAAAGGTAAGGCATGATTTCACCAAGGTTTGCCTAACGAACCTTGACTATCACAGGCCAACGTAGAGAATATTGATGAGCAAAATGTTCAGCCAGTCATTCAAAATCAGGGCATGTCATTTTGAAAGCACAAGTCAGACCGGTAGTACTCAAGGAAGCGCAGAAAAATGGAGGTTGCGTAAGAGTGCCTCCCACTGAACAGTGTATGAGATCTGTATCAAAACAAGAGGTAGAGATGCTATCTGGTCGATACGAGGTGCATGAGATAAAACAGCCTTCAGTGCAGCCGTGCGATTGACAGAAAGGCAGACAGACACACATACTTATTGTAAATATGAATTCATTCTTCTGTACAGCTTTTGAGTTTTGAGTACGGCTGTCATGTGCATCCCCATGCCGTATTTGCTGCCAACTTTTGTGTATAAAAAGAATATTTATTACCACAATAATGAGGATGATGACGAAACTAATGATGATGAATATTATAATTATTGCATAAGCATAGTGTATGTGGCTGACTTGTATTGACTGTTTACAACAGTGGAACAAAACACATATTCAGAAACATCCAGTCTGTGTATAGTTTCTATACATATTGTGTTTGTAAAACAATAAGAAAACACCTCCACAGTAACTGCAGAGTAGAATGCCTTTGTCAGTCTATTGGGAGGTCTTCAATTTGATGGATATGATCTGCAAGGTGAAGAGGGTAAAGGAAAGAAGTGGGAAAAAATGAACCAAAAAATCTGGAAAATGTCATTCACTGTTGTAAGTGCAATGGGCAAAACGTCAGTCGTGTATCCATTGTGAAACCTTGTGTTCTATTCAGTGTATTCCTGTAAACAGATAGAGTAAATTTTGGTGCATCATGTCAAGTAATGTGATTAATGAAAATATTGACCCTGCAATTTCCAAACAGAGAGAAGAATAAAAAGAAAAGGAATATATTGTGTTTATTGTCTTTGGTCTGTGTGTATGTATGTGTCATCTACGTTCTTGCAGCACTGATGGAGACACTTGGTAAGTTGTGTAGCTCTGCTGCAGACAGCAGAGATCAAGAATAAAGACCTCGAAGGCAACGCGACTGCTCAGATAAGACCAGGCTTTACGCACTGAAGCAGTGATGACTTATCCCAGTGTGGGTGGTATAGGGAGGCAGGAGCAGTGAGAGAAGTATTTGCCAATGCATAGGGAGAGATGGTGTGAGTGTGAGAGATGGTGTGAGTGTGAGAAGTGTGTTTGTGACTGAGTCTGCATGTGTGTATCAGGAAAAGAGCGAGCATTTGAATAGTTTGTATTGTTGCTAACTATCTATATTCTCCAGGTAGTTTAAAAATGCTTACCCTGATAGCTACAGTACAGTGAGGTGGCGTTATATTAATATAATATTCAGTTTAGTATCACAACAAAAAAGCACACCAACTGATGCTGACTCAGTAATTCATTAGATTTTGTGCAGCTGTAGTTACTCTTTGGTGTGTCACTAACCTCACTGATACAGTTCATCATGGCTCACCCCTCTTTATGGCAGCAGGGTTTTCATTCCACATTCTATTGTATCCATTTCAGAACAGGCATAAACACTTTTCCTGTTAGATGTGGTCAGGTGACACGTGTATGTCCCAGTTCATTTGAAGCATGCTGTTAACATATACTGAAACCTTTACTTTACTGTAGGTGTGTTCAACCCCCTATCACTATGACTGAATATTGGCATGTAGATGTCTTCAGGGTTCTTATCTAATGTAAAGTTTGGGACAGATTTGACCATGTACAGTCCATTTACACACTTCCTTACTTCCTTTTTCATGGCAAAACATAAAAATTGAACTCCATGCCACATACATGCTGTTAGATGAATCCTAAAAAGCTTTGCAATTCAGCATCACAAGGGTCTTTGGATTGCACGGCCAAAATTTGAAGTCGAACAGAATAATTGTCTAGGAGGAATTTGTTGAAGTACAGAGCCGAGCCAGGCGAAAAATTGCATATTCAATTCAAGATGGCGGACTTCCAATTGGGTTTAGGATATGGCTCCAAGAGGCTTTTTTTAAGTCTATAGATGATACATCTGCCGTCCAAAGTCCATACATCTGGGTGAAATCTGTGTGAAACACACAGCGGGGGCTTCTTCAGGCCACTTTTGAGCCATTTTTTCACAACCATGCCAGAACCACATCAGACAATAGAAATACACCCCTTCTGACTTGCGTGCCAAGTCTCGTGAGTTTTGAGCATCCCTAACCATTTCAAGGTATAAAAGTCTTTGGGGGAGCTATAGTGCCAACGTGCCACCCCCAAGCCCAGGTGTGACGTCAAATCGAAATATTTACCAGTTCAAGTATGGGTCAAAGTTTTGTGACTTTCTGAGCATCCTAAAGGCCTCAAACATGGGTTTAAAACATTTTAATTGATGCAGAAAATCCAAAAAGGCTGACTTACGGTTAAACAAAAGCTCTTAAAAGAAATTAAAATGTGTTCTTTATGATGAGAGAAATGATCCCCCCAGATCTCATGAAGATCAAAGCAACTTCACACCAGTGTCACTTGATTTTGGGGTTGTTTGCTTGACATTAATGGTTTCCATTACTACTCTTTTGAGCTGTATGTCTTTTAAGCAATTTACTGAGTCTGGACCTGAGGAATTTGCTCGTCTTCTATGTAACATGTTATTTCCGTAGTTGTTTAATCATGTGTCGATCATTCCACTCCTTTATGAAGAGAGCTTACAGTAGGCCTACATTCACGTGGACACTGCAGTGCACCTCTGTCATGTTGCTGGATTGTGTTTGAATGTGAGGGCTACTCTACTGTAAATTGAATTGACTATCAGGTTAGTATGAAACCACAACCCATTCTTCCGCTCCACCCGCAGAGTGTAGCATTAATAATAACAGTAAACAGTTTTTAAGTTTCACAGCAGCAATATGATTGGCTGAAAAAGTAAACACCCATAATCAACTATTTAAGAAGAAAAGGGGAGAGAGAGAGAGATCGAATGAGGCATAAAGATAGTACAGTTGTCAAAAATAGTCACAAAGCAATACGAATGGGGTTTTTTTCTGACTGGAGTCAGTTCAGTTGGCAGACTCTTGAATTCATTTTGAAACAATTTAAAGTGTTTCCCCAGTTGAGGGTGATGGGTGTAGGCTCTGGCAAATCCTATTAACGTATTCAGGTCATTTGATTTCACAAGTCAATAATGTATCAGAATTTTGTCAGAATAGCAAAGCATGAAAATAACTCAATTTGTGGAAAAATGTAAATGCAAAACAGGATAGGTACAATGTACAATTTATTTATCATTTTACAACACAGGGTTGTAGATTACGTTGTAGTTTCTGTTACGCTACTCACAAAAATAAACATTATATACAAATATTATGTACAGTAGATGGGTGAAAAATAATACTCACTGATGCTCGGTGGATGGGTACAAAAGATCTTCTGCGGTTTTAATCACCTGCTGCAGAGCCCTACTGTCCTGGGCTACACAACCCATACCAGTTTGTGATGTTTCCAGTCAGGATGCTTTCTATTTCTCCTCTGTAAAAGTTAAGAAAGAACTTGGCACAGGAATTTTCTTGCCTCCTTAAGTTTTCTTAAGCCATTTCAGAGCTTACACTGAATTCATGTGCTAAATCCTTTATGCAGATCCAGTATTTGTAGTGGTCAATTATAATTGCACGGCCTACATATTGATGTGAAATTATTCAACTGAACTTTCACCCACTTCTTCTGCTAAAAGAAGGCCACTGGTTTCTTTAATGAGGTCAGTCTTTGTACTACGCACTAAATAGCAAATGAAACTATTATAAATATCTTTTGATTCATGAAACCGTGAAGCAGCTTTATCCAGAGCCCAAGATATGAGCAGAATCTTGGAGAAGAAAATGTTTGTTGGTTAAATACAAGAAACCAAATGGAAAATGTCAGTTTTGAGAGAACAACTGACCCTGCATATCCAGCTGTGCCAAAGCCTTCTACCAGCAGTCTTCCAAGGAAGCAAGTTGTAGGCTTCATACAAGATATATTTTTCATAAAGATGATTGTGACATAGGTCCACAAAGGTTAAAACACCACTAAAATGTCTCTATTAACTGATATCACCCATCAATGAGAGGGTTATGAAGCCTTAAGTGCTCTATCTTTGCTCTAACAAGGATTTATTGCTGAACCCTGCAGCAGCCATCTCTAGCATTGGTGGCCAACCTTTTTCCTTCAGTTCTCTCTAAGCATATTTAACATCATGAAATATATAAAATTGCTGAACCCCTCTCCTCATGCACTGTTGGCGGTCACTTACCCTATATTACTTCAAGTAATAGACGTTATGTATATATTTTTTCTTTCGCTGCCGGGGTCTTAGAGGCTTGTTTGAGCCAACTCTGTACCAACTCCCTCTGCAGAGCAGGTGAATGCTTGTATACAGCAGGTTGATTTATGGTTTGGCATTGTTCTCAGTTACAAGTCACTTGACCTACATACCATCTTATTAAGGGCATAAATGTATGTCATTAAACTGTAAATCGGATTCTTGCATTCATCCATTTCCTGAAAGCCATGATGGGAGCCTCTGCCTCTGAGGATTAACCAGTTATTTCCATCGGTAATGACCTCAGAGGAACATTTTGTGACTCATCCTCAAGTAGAGGGAAGTGAGACATATAGTGGTAGAAGACGCATAGAGTAACCAGAAGCAAGGACTGCTCATCCAACTAATTATTTGTCATTGTTATAGCAAAAGTGCATATTACCATATTTGAGCCTGTTTCTTAGAATCAAGATGATTCACTGTGTTGTAAGCACATGATGTAATTATTTCATGATGCAACTGCGACACTTCTAAGAGACACCTTTCCTGTGAATACCAAACCACATCTACTTCTTCCAAGGACATAACAGACCAGAAACCTTTCTGATGTAGAAAAGTAATCTAAAAGCAATTCTTATAAGTGATCAAGGAGCCACTTAACATGACTTTGATGTATTGTAATCACACCACAAGAGGCCAGCAGAGAGCAAACCCAAAACTCTATCCACCTCAAAATGTCGAGATCCATCAGGCTGCTGGGCAAAATGACAAATGAATAGGGCTGAGGGAGAACTGGCTGCTCAGGTTTTCATTCCTCACCTGTCACTCACAGTAATCTGCTTGCTTGCAAATCCTACAGACTGTATAATCAATACAGAATCCTTTAACAATGAAACAATCCTTTTCCAGGCCTTAAAGCTTTCTAAAGGGTTTGTTTATGGACCATCTGTCTCACCTCAAAAAGTGATCAATAACCATAAACTACTGTCACCTCATAGAAAAAGAAGAAGGTTTATTGATTGCTGTCAGGATGGAAAGAGGATTTCAACAAATATAACAAATAAAATGCTTCTGAAATAAACTACCTAACCCAGCATTTTACCCCTTGATGGAAGCCATTAACAGAAAGTGATATAAATGTATTGTCAAATTTTGTATTTCATTGCTCTGTGTGCAGAGTTCTACAGTGCCTGCTATTTCAAAAGAGAAATAAAATAAAATAATGCTAATTTGTTTTGGTTGTCTACATTAATAAGACTTTTAAGAGAAGAGAGAATTACATTACAAAATATGACTGACCAAAATATTGAGAATAAGAAATCATTAAAACTCAACAATGTCCAAGTAATTGCAACAAATATGAGGCTGATGCTGTAAATAAACAGTGTGCAGAAAATTACAGGCGCAACCACAGCTAACGGGTTCAAATGTGTTGAGCTTAAGAGACAGCTATTTCCCACAGGAGTTGGTGGAGAACAAAATCAGAGGTAAAAGGATTGTGAGGTCTGGTGTCTCACCCAGCCATCCACCCCAACCACCTCTTTAATCTGAAGTTATTTATACTAGGCCTACTTTGAGCGTTAAACAGTGATGCTAAAGCATTAAAAACTGATGCCATGGGATCTTGACCAAACGATATGACGACTTGGATATAACTCAGAATGAATGCTATTGTTGTTTGGTATCTTATGGGGAAAAAAGCAAGGGTTTGCTAACTCACATCAACTTTAATATGTCAGTGTTGTGTTTACAGCTTGTTTCTGATGCCCCCAAATGGCCCCAAAAATCTTGCAGGTTTAAAGCCTACAGTCAGTAAACTGGGTGCCTTGACCTAATGTCAACTCGTAGCAGTTTTGGGCTTTCGCATCCAACTCTTTCTTATACTTTGCCTCCAAGTAACAGACCAGTGTGTTGTATTTGGACAGTTTAATATGAATAAGTGTGAAACTACAAAACAGCAAGAACTGTTAGCTAATTGTAAAACATGAAAACATACAAGGTAAAACTGAACATACTGTGTAACATGCACACTGTGTTAATTTACTGAACACCAAAGATCCACCAATGATCTTAATGTACCAATATATCATCAATATCCACTCAAAAATATCTAACACATTATAATCATAAAATATACTCACTGGCATTGCCACTCAATAGGCAAGAACAAAGCAGATGGAAACAGATAGAGAACCAAGTGCTACCCTCTGTCAACTACAGCTGTAGGGATGAAGGGGAGGCTGCTTCCTGTCACGTGTGCTTATGTAATGTAGGTAAACTGCACTACTAGGAAGTATATTGATGACAGAATATTTGAGCGAGCACAAAACAAATTCTGAGAGCTATTCAGTCTGCAAGTCAACATCTGAGAGCACACAGGCATTGATTTGTAAGAGCAGTATCAGACTTGAGCTTGCAATCCAGTCGTTTTGTCAGCCTCTGAATTTGCAATTGGTGATCATATGATTATTTTGGACAACATTTGATTTATATATTTTATGTTAATCCAACAGATCTCTTTTACCATCGCCTAGTTTATTTATACCAATATGTTGGATTTGACTTGAATATTCTGAAAATGCTGAATTCTGAATGCAACCACAGCCCATAATAATTGTATTATTATTGTTATTATTATTTTTGATTTTGTTTTTTTTAATACCAAATGAAGTCAGATTAGATCATTTGGTTTATAAGGGCAGCATTTTTCTCAGAAGTGAGGATAAACCTCATTCATAAATGTTTCTCTTATAATGGTTCAAATAATTTTCTCCGTTAAAATTACTTATAAAAACAGAGAAATAACAAATAGGAAAATTCTTCATCTGTTTCAGAAAATCACACTAGAAACATACGTTAACATGACACCTGCCAACACAGCCACTATATATAGTTAGTAACTCATTTTAGATTAATTTGACTCTCAGAGTGACTTTGCCACAATGGCTTCAACTCTAGAAAATTTGCCAACAGATTCAATTTAGATTTTTGTAATTTAGTGGCAACATTTCTATCTAAAAATAACATCTTCAAAATCATTTGATGGTACACTCACTTGTAATAGTGTGAATAGCCTCTGTCATTACTACTCCGGTTGCTACTGCACTATGTAATATTGGAATCCCGGGCAGGACATTTATGATGACAACTGTGTTATGCTTTACGGCACCAACACGACTCTTTAGCAAGCAAGCTATAAGTACAAGAAAAAATTATATAATGTACAATGTCATTGCAGAGGCTGCGGAGAGACCAAAGAAGACGTTTGATGGAGAAAGCGAGGAAGAGAAAAAGGGAGTAAATATCGGACTGGCTTTTACTTGTTGGCGGGAGCTAAAAGAGCTGAAAGGATATAGGACAGATTCTGAGCTGGCCTTCTTGCTTGTGGACTAGTAAGTATTAACTTATTAGCTGTCTTGCTGTCTTGTGTTGTTGCACTTGTTTATGTTTGCCTGTGGCAAAACCAACCAAAGGTTTCACAGACAGAGGTTTAGCCGCACTCTATAAATCTGGAGTTGATGTTATTAAACTTTCTACATAACACACTCGGACATCTGTAACGTTACTGTAAGTGCTCTTGCGTTGGTTGCTGTCTTGCTTTGTTGGCTAACTTGCCGTCTAAGTTTCAAGGAAGATGGAGAGCAGCGCCGGTGTTTGATCGAAGACGATGGTGACAGAGGAAGCTAAGAGGAGAAAAGCAAGAGACTCCTGGATGTTGGCAAAAGCTTTGTGAAAGAAATGGCAAGACAGACAAAGAGCTTATTCTTTCTGTGTAGGCTACACAATTGGAGTTGTAAGTGATATTGCTATGTCTTGTCGTACTTGCTTGCTGTTAAAGTTGTCGACTTGCTAGTTTTTTAAGTAATGTAAACCTACAATGCATGTGTACAGGTGATCTTATTTACGACAGCAGTGAATTACACTCGCCAAATCACACAAAAAAAACAAATCTTACATAATCTTGCTGTAAGATAGTACACACACCAAAACTGCTCTTTATCTCCATCTGGTGGTTTGAAAAAATTCCACTGTCCCACATTTTATTTCGAAAGCAGAAAGAAAGAAGAATGACCATTCACCTCCAAGTAAAATTGAACAGGAGATGCTCTGCTATCAGTTTGAATTTGCACTCTGGGGATTCAGACTGCCAAAACAGAGTGCTCAAAGAAATATTTTGTGGTCTCTCAAATCTTTAGTCGTCCGTAAATTTCTATACATGTGACTGGCTGAAAGGTGAGGGGGCAGTGGCAACAGCACTATCATGAAAAGTTACATTATGAAATAAAATGTGTCACTAGGAAAAATGCCACTATATATTAAAAAGTTTTGAAATAAAAATGAATGCCAATAAAAAAGATGATAAACAATTCCATAATAATGAGTTAATAATTTCTCAACTTATTAAAATAATTTTTATTGGTTGATTTATATATTTCATGTGATAATAATAAAAATGGAGACAAATCAGAATAGAAATTTCTGGCAGCACTTCAGCACTGACCACATGGCTGCTGTTAGGATACACAGGAACATATTGCGGGTCAAATTGTGAGAAGAAAATAAGCTAAGCCTCTCCATAGCCTCTAATGCCCTGCAAGGGACAAGCCAGTCTACCCAACCACCACTCACTTTGTGCATGTTACTGGAATCACATAGTGGAAGCGTAAGGTATTCAATCGGAGCACAAAGCGTTTCTTACTGTACCCATTTGCCATAATTCCTGTTCATATAACCTTGTATGTGTGCATATGAGAGAAAGAAAGAGGGCGAGAGAGAGAGACTCTGTGTGTTTGTGTTCAGGACACAGAAATGCTGATGACTCTCCTTTGGGCCCTGTCAAGCACACTTAGCATCAGTGTTTACCATGCAAAATAGGAGAAAGTCTCCCTAATTGCAGAAGGCCTGATGGCAGGCAAGACCAGGAGGAAGACAGCAGCCAGGGGTACAATGTTCTGTTTGTTATCTGTTGTGTGGAAAAGCCTGAAGGGCTGCCTGTTCGAACACGTGTGAAGGACGTACTCACCTCATGGTGAAGTTACAGTGTGTGTGATGTCATGCGTTTGGATTGATTTATGCTACGACAGAAGTTCCTCTTTCAGTGCTGCTCACTGTATCTGTGGTTGCCCTCGGGCAAATCTGATTTACAGTGTTGGCAGTCTGAGCACCGGAGAGGAGCCGGTTCATTGTTTTATAAAAGACACAATATGTCACTGCTTCACTGATCATATCATTCTTCCAACTACTTGATTTAAAGCCAGACTCTCTGTCCCAGTTTTGTTTTGCTTGGAGTTCAAACTTGAGGGAATAGTTTGACATTTTAGGAAATTTGCTTATTTGCTTTCTTGCCGAGTTAAATGACAGATTAATACCACTTGGATGTTTTTAGGGTAAATATAAAGAATGGAGTCTTGTCCTTATAGTGAGCCGAGACTCCTGGAAATGAGTGCACCTAGCTAAGAAATAATACGGCACATAAACTCCAATATAACCACAATGTGTAATTTTTACACTTTGATTCTTGAACAGATTAAACAAATGAGATATGACATGTTAATGAGGCAGCCTACTGATAGGTGGATTGCTTCCTTTGGACAGTATCGGGCTAGCTGTTCCCCCCTGTGCGCAAAACTATGTTGAGCTAAACAAAGCTGTGTTTAGCTATGCTAAGTGTCTGACTATAGCTTCATACTGATCAGATATGAGAGTGGTATCCATCTTCCCGTCTAACTCTCTGTAAGAAAGTGTTTCTCCATGTGTTACAAGCATTTATTTCATCTACTCTAACATACTTGATCCACTTTTGTAGGAGCTGCTGGTGTAATTTTGTTTCTTAACTGCATCAGATGTGTAATACTAGCGAAGGAGCAAGACATTACAGAACATAGGGCATATGAAAATGAAAGGTTTTTCTTGCCCAGAATTTAGCCTGTAAGGCTTGCAAATGCTCTCTTTTCTCTAACTAGGATTTCCAGACTACAGTCCCGTTTTACTTTAACCACTCAGTATTAAATCCGAATAGCTTGATACGGGTGGTAGCCAAGAGGGAAACTTCCGGTCTGAGACAAGATGCCAATGCAGAAGTCCATTAAACTTGCATTCTATCTAACAACCAGCAGGGGGGCGACTCTTCTGGTTGCAAAAAGAAGTGTGGCTCCATTAGAAATAATTGTAAAAGGACCCTACTTCTCAGCAGATTTATTACCTCAGTAAACAATTTCCTAATGGGTTTATGTTCTCAATCGCCAGTTTCATGTCTTCTTCAGTACAACATGATTTAGTAAATTATGGTCCCATTTAGAGGAAAACAGACCATAAAGCAGAGTATGCTTCAGTTCGGGATTATCTATGATTGACAAGTCGTTACCATGGCGACCTGTCAATCAGGCTAGAGTGACTTGTACCCATAAATGCCCTGTTAAAATGACAGTTAACATGAATTACAGATGCACCTAGCAAAGCAAGCTAGCTAGCTCCGCACACGGCCGTTAGCGCCACCGTCCAAATATGGTCATGTCCGGTGCCGCTGGTTGCAAAAACTCAACATGGCGGCGCCCTATCGGCCAAACTCGAGGCTTCAAGGCAGTCCACAAACCAACGGGTGACGTGGTGGTAGCGGGAGGACTCCAAGGGACCGTGCTGCTGCTACCCACAGGTTTGACTACGGATCCAAGTCACATAATTTTGAATTAGGCCCTCCCTGTGTTGAAATGCACCGTGACTACATCGCAGTGTTTCCGGGCACATGTAAACCTCGACGAGGGGAAACAATAGCCCCAAAAGAGACAAAGAGGAGTTCCAATTAGAAACTAACACGGTCAGTGATTCTAGATCAGCACCAAGACGATGTGAAATTGAGTGCAGGCCGCACTCACCGCATCTCATCCGCCCATCCCCTCCTGCCGGCTGCCACTTGCAGTAGTGGTGATGCTGCTCCCTGGTGTGTAGAGGAGGAGAGAGAGCGTGTCCGCTGCCCAATGACAGCGCAGGATGCTGAGAGAGGCTGCTGGGGTGAATGGAGGCGACAAGATGCCGTCTAGAACGGCGAAGGAGAGGAATTTACATCCATGAAGGTACAATTGCTTATTTTATTTGACTCACATCTATCCGCGTTTCATTAGCCTATAGAAGTAATGACACTTAAAATCCTTTGGGGGTTTTTGGAGCGTTTTGTGAGCGACCTGTCGGGAAAAAACCACAGGCTATGTGGGATTTTTTTTTAAAATCTCCTGCCGTGGTCGTTGATTGCACAGCCAGTCAGTGCTCACTTGATACCTGAGAATTTGCATTTTAAAGCCGCGTTGAAACCATAGAGCAGCGCTTTATTTGAAAATAAAGGTTTCAGTCTGCTTCCCCACGGCTGGTTAGACCAATGTTTCATTGGTATAGTCAGGTGTTCGACGCACACCACGCTGGAGCCGTGGAAAATGTAGGCCCAGTGAGCTGTCAGTTGCTCGGTCGTGCTCCCTATGCTGCATCAAATGTAATTCTGCCTACACATCAGTCAGCATACATTGAAATAAAAAACAGGGGCCTACGTGTAGCCTAACTGAGATACATCTGTCGAGGACGTTTCCTCCTGAGCCTTTTTGCATTCACAACCCATTTCTAAGCAGGGTTAAACCGTTGAATGTTGGAATTGGGTGGACGCGTGGAACAGGCCTTTTGGAGCAGCACAAACCTCATCCAATCAAACAACCATTGAGGTCAGTGGAAAGCATGGGTGCGTTAAGACTCTGTAGTAGAATACGTGATGAGGAGGCTGCATGTGTTGTACTTGCTCAGGTAGCACTGCGCCGCACAGGACGGCTTCTTTTCACATGGAGTTCCTCTATGTAAAAGGCTATTTATAGAAAAATGTCCTTCTACGTTCTCAGAGTCAAAGATGCCTGGTTTGAACTAGTGGTCTTAGCCTAATACAGTTGCGTTAGAGTAGGAACAAAATGCCTGCATGCTGGCTTTCAAAATCACATGATAGCCTTATAGACAGTCTACAGATACACTCATCATCGCCTGAGGTGAAATCTTTGCTTCAGAACATCTGTATCCTCTCTGCTGTTAACGCACCACTGCTCTCTGAATTGCCTGTGATCATTTCTTCAGTGGCCTATACTGGCATTTGCTGACAGTTTTTTTCTGGGTCCTGGTAACTGTAATTACTTGAGTAGGCTAGTATGACGTCTGGTCAGAAACGATTGAAAGTGACAGCATGGCCATGAGTTGCAAAAAGCTGCATGAAAAAAATAATTTTAATCAGAAAATCCCTGATGGACTGATTATAAGACTGTGCCAACACTCCTTTGGTGTCATTCTGAAAATAAGCAGTAGTAATATTTTATGTACCTTTGCTATGTTTTTGGAGTATCTTTTGTAAAGTTTACTGTAGTGTCTGGGTGGGGTGGAGGATTACATGGCCTTTTCAGTTGGCATCCCTCATGGTACTCCAATATTAAAACAGTTTCTGCAATAATATGATATTGGTCGTTTCCTTCTGCCCGGCATATGAGGAATGTGCTCCGGTGCTGTGTGGATCTGTGTGGGTGAAATCTGTTAATGTGGAAAATTTACCGCAGACCTTGGTTAGAAGAAGAATGAAAGGATCAGAGTAATATTTTTCACTGGATATAAACTGGTGTGGAACATTGACTGTGTCTGTCAGGGATTTGTAGACATATGTAAACATATTCGATGTTGTACTTAGATGTCCAATGTACTAGTGCTGATACGATTAGTCAATTGACTGATTAGTCCATCGACAATTTTGAGAATTGTGTAATTGTTTAATACATTTATCAAACAGCAAAAACATCAAATACTCCATGATTTCAGCTTGTTTTATATCTTTATATATTGAATAGCTGTGGATTTTGGACTTCTAGAGACAGAAAACTTAAATTAGTCACCTCAGGCCTTTTTTGTGCTATTTCCGCACATTTTGTGGACTAAATGATTAATCAAAAAAAATAAAAATAAATCAACAGATAATGAAAATGTTCATTAATTGCATCCCTACACTTTAACTTCTTTGGTCATACCACATGGAATTCAGTATTCCCATACCAATGTTTCAGCTCCAGGCAATCAATCTGTGAAATCTGACTGTGGCACACCCATGTGATTAGAGTGTATCCCACTGGGTGGACAGAAATGCAGAAACACCCTACAGTACAATAAAAAAATGTAAGCGAATAACATTTAAATGACAATGTCTGATTTTTGTTTGACTTTCAGAGGCGCAGTGTCAGAGGGATTATTTTTGAGATGGAAGTGTGTGGTGTTAATCAGTGTTTGTGTGTACACTGGTCCTCATCACAATGCAGTTTTCTTGTGTTTGGCATATGTCATCATGATTTTTTTTTAAAGTAAATAGTTCTGGCACATGTGCCTTTGTTAAATTGCTGACAGTGAAGATCGGCAGGGAACACGAAAAGCGACAACAAAGATACCCAGCTGCAATCAAAGCGTGGACATTGGCACACATGGCACACATCCCAGACCACTGGCCCACCAGCACGGCACAGGCTTATTTTTTGAAACTTTTCTCCACATCACATTACATCGTTTTCCTGTAATTCACAATAACAAAGACAGCTATAGAAGTGAATCATAGCTGAAGTTGAATCCCACTTACTAGAATGCGTCAGCTTTAATAAGGGGGCAGACAAACACAAGACAAGAATAAGCAACTTAAAGAGGTAAAAAGAAGCCAGAGAGTCACTGCCTGAATCATTGGCCCAACAGTGGTGACATAGAGGAAGTCTAAAAAATGATGACAACACATTAAAAACACAGACAAACTTCATTAAAGAGGAGCAGTCATTATAAGTAGATCCTAACAAACACTGACTGAAAGAGGCTTCATAGGATATTTTGCCTTACGCTCTAAACCACAGTACCGCCTCAAAAATGACCACTGAGTTGAATCATCCTCACCAACAGTTTCATCAGAAATAAACCCCAAACACACCCCAACAGCATTCTGAACCTCACCAGACTTTGTATATAGCAGGTGAATTATAATTTATTATTAGATGTTTTTGTTCTTTTGCCTGTACTGCCCATTAGCTCCCAAAACATTTACCAACCAGACTTCACCGACCTGCTGTAGCAAGCTGACCACTGTAGATAAGAGCCGCTGTTGTTGCTGCATATCTCTGCATTTTTCAAATTTGAATTTAATTTGCCAGTGTTATTTAAAAAATTATTTCACACTGTTTATAGGCTGTGAATGCAAACTCTTTAAACAAATTCTGGTTGATCTGTATGTTCTCATCAAATTTCTAGACACCTTTTACTGATGTACCTTTTTTGATGTTAACTAACAGAGATCACAGTATCCTGTCTGACCTCCTCTGCCAGATGAGGCTTCAGTGAATGTCTGTCACCCAGACTGTTACTGGATTTCCTGACACACTGGGGAGACCTGTTGACATGTGGTTCTCTGTGCCTTGAATTGTCATTTTACCTGTCCTTCATAGAAAAGCAAAAGAACACGCATGAAGAAAACTTGGGATTGTCAGAAAGAAAGCTCTTTTGAAGGCAATCGGCAGCAACTAATGATTATTTTCATTGTCAATTAATGCATTTTCTTGATTAATGGATTCATTGTTTGGTCTATAAAGTCAGAAAAGTTTGAAAATTATGAAAAATGTTTCCAAAAGCCCAAGATGACTTCCTCAGATGTCTGGTGTTGTCCATAACCCAAAGATGTTCAGTTTACTGTCTTAGAGGAGTAAATAAACCAGAACATATTCACATTTAAGAAGCTGGAAACCAGGGAATTTTTCTTTAAAAAATTACTCAGACTGATTAATCGATGATCAAAATAGCTGCCGATTAATTTAATAGTTTACAACTAATCGATTATTCCATTAATCTTAGCAGCTCTTCTGTCATGTCATATTGCCAATGCTGCAACACACACCATCCAAATTTGGCCACAGTTTCTTTTCTTCTCAGCTTTTGGAAACTTATTCTACCGTTATGTCAGACGACTGAGGTGCGTTATCTCTGTTAGCCCAGGCTCTGTCACCATGGCAACTGGGTCTGAGCAGCAAGTGTCACCAGAGGAGAGAAAGTATCGTAGTTCACTTTGATGGAAGAGTCTAATTTTATTTTTCTCCCAGACGATCCAACATTATTCATCACCAGACAGCCTGTGACATTAAAAAACTCTGTCAGCGTCTTCAACATTTGTTGTTTAACAGCTTTCTGTATTTTACCTAAAAAAACATCTACTGCCGTTTTGTGTCATCTCATGCTTAGAAATATAGACTGTGATATATCCTATGCTATATTGAAGCTTGAGATGGCATGAAATGGCAGAACTTATTACATGCCATTTTAGTATGCCATGGGCCTGATTATGTTAGCTGTCTTTTATAATTAATTTTTATTGCATTGAGTTCAGAATATTGGATTGATTGTATTGTTGGGGGTCTGTTGATGTACGCTTTATACTCTGACAGCACACACTGTTGTGTTCCAAACATCACTGTGTTCTCTAGAGAAAATGTAAGAGTTAACATCACACTCACATAAACTATTAATTTGGTCTATCCAGTATCATAGCATCTGTGCTTGTTTAAAAACTAATAATCACTAATCTAAAAGAAAACAGTTTCATTTGAATGATTAAACTTTTTGCAAGGGATTCACTTTAAAAAAGAACATTTAATCATTTCCAGGGCATCATTATTTAATCTGATATAAAACAACTGGCCATCATTGATCAGAACAGACAAATGTGATATTTTATTTTGTGTTTTAATTAGTGTATTATTTAGCTGAAGGACTGTGTAGTTGTAAAGCTGAGCTGTCTGTCCTGTATTAGCAGCATTAATGGGATGTACAGTAGATAAATGCTGGCCAGTGGGAAATCCAGGATGATGCTGGGAAATTCCTGTGGGCCATTTGAAATAGCAGCCACATAAAATGTGACAGTTTGCTGCTGATGTTGACTAATACAGTGTTAAAGCAAACAGAAATGTTTATTTATTCATCTGGAGCATCTTGCAGGCCAAGTATGTTTGTTTTAACCAGTTTTTGAGGAGAATGTACTGTAATTTTTGTTTTAACTGTGCGTTTCTTTCCGTGCCTTTCATCTGACACATGCAAACAGTTGTTATTCATCTAACAGGTGCTTCTCTCCTGTTTCCTCAGATCTGACTTTGATGTGCTCCACCTATTAAGGCATGAAATAAGTCACCCATGTGCAGTTCAGAGAGTCAGAGCAGCTTCATTTCTGCGTGCTCCTGTTAAGGACCGTCTGGTGGCTACACCGCCGATTCACAGGACATGTACGGCAGTGCCAGAGCTGTAGGCCATATAGAGAGCAGCCCCGCACGGTCCCCGCGCCTGCCAAGGTCCCCCAGACTGGGCCATCGGAGGGCCAACAGCGGGGGCGGGGGCGGTGCGGGGGGCAAGACGCTCTCCATGGAGAACATCCAGTCCCTCAACGCTGCCTATGCTACTTCTGGACCCATGTACCTGAGCGATCACGAGGGCGTCGGCTCCACTGCCACCTACCCAAAAGGCACTATGACTCTGGGTCGCGCCACCAGCCGGGCCATGTACGGGGGCCGCGTCACAGCCATGGGCAGCAGTCCTAACATTGCTTCAGTGGGGCTGCCTCATCATGCTGACCTTCTGTCTTACAGTGACCTGGGCTCCCTCTCCATGCTGCACCACCACCACCACCACCAGGGGGTGCCCTCCGCTCTGCTGAGGCAGGCGGTGCGGAGCAGTGGGGGGGAGCTGCTGGAGATGCAGGCCCAGCTCAGGGATATGCAGAGGGAGAATGAGCTGCTGCGCAGAGAGCTTGACCTAAAGGACAGTAAGTTAGGATCTTCCACCAACAGCATCAAGAGCTTCTGGAGTCCTGAGCTGAAGAAGGAGAGGATAATGAGGAAAGAAGAGGCGGCTCGCACATCAATCCTTAAAGAGCAGATGAGAGTCACTCATGAGGAGAATCAGGTGAGACCAGCCCTCTCAGCTGTCATAATCCACTCTTTACTGCAGGGAATTTTAGTGTCTGTTGTCTTTCTGTTGTCTTTTTTGATCTGTGTGTCTCTGATTTTGCCATTCTCTTCTCTGCAATATACCACCGTCATCCTCAGTCCAAGAATTCAGAGAACTATTGCAGTCAGTCATTCTTTCAGTACTTGTGGAAACCTTTCTGGAAAGAGTTTTTTGTGTACATAAATTTTTAACACACACTCTCCGCATGGTACTCCAGTACAGAATCAATATCAGAGAGAACACTTGAGCCACAGGAAATACAAAACCTTTTAATCTGGTTGTCTATAATCTAGTTTTTGAAATCTGAGCTAATATACCGGGCCATGTACCTTATACAAAAGCATTTAATAATCCATGGTTTTGACAACGAAAATCGTCCCTCAATTGTTTGATGATTAAGTGAAAAGCATAATGACACACAGGTTAATTCCAACTTCTGTACTCAATCTAGCCAAAACATGAGTTAAATTTAGTTCCTTTTCAAAGGTTGTTATAAGATTGGCCCTAGAGTGTGGGATGTCAAAAGGGGTTTTGCTTGCTTCAATGTGGGGGTGTAGTCATGGCCCACTTAAATCAGCAACTGACAAAAGTAGGCACAAGGCCCAGAGATAAATGTCAAGGATGCTTAAACACTCTCTCTCTCTTCCCTTTTCCACTGTATTTCCTTTACTTACTCTGACTTTGATCATCTCCCGCTGTCTACCTCTGTTCATCTGGTCTTCGCTATCTTCAGTCTGTTTTTCTGACTAGATGTAGAAAAAGTATCTTAGCTGCTGAACCCTTTGTTTTTTAAAGAAACCAAATTGCAGCATGCACAGTTTTCTAACAGCTAAGTTGAATATAATGATAATAAGATTTAGATATAATAACAGCCATACATCACTTTCTGCACATGTATTCAATATGCAAAAATGCTCTTTGTGTCACTAATTTGCATGATGGATGGATTAGATGAATCCCAGTTGCATGTTTTTGGGATATATGTGTATATATAGAACAGCAAATACTTAGCTGACATACTACAGACAGAGGGTTTATACTGTATATAAAGCACTTGGCTTAGTTTGATGTTTCAGTAGAAAGGAAAAGTGCACAACACACACACTGTGGTGGATTGTGGAAGAGGTCAGCATATTGCTTGACTGGCTGGATAGAGCTCTACAGCATTTTTTCCTTTTTGAGGCAGACTGTGGCATGATGCAGCTAATTGCACGATGCCTCAAGCAACGTAAAGGTTGCATTTTGCCAGCTGGTCATGGTCTTTGTGTGAGTCTGTCTGCGTTTCTGTCTGACTGAGTGATGCTGTCGGACAGTGAGCAGCCAGTAGGCCACTCATTACTCAAAGCGGCAGACGCTGTGACTCCACCCTTCAAGGTCATAGCGGTAAACCATTTGTGTGACCCTTAAATGGGTCCTAAAGCAGTGCCATGCTGCTAAAGTGAAGGATGCCGAGCTCTCTGTCTCACAATTGGATGGTTTCTACCTGCTGGTGAACCCTAGAGGGGAGCCAGAGGTAGCTTGATTCTTCAATATCTTTATGATTCGTGAGAATGTGTAGTGACAGTGTTTGGGAGGAGAACGTGCCTGTTCGAGCTAAACCAGCACTGCCACTGACAGGGCCCAAGCCATTCATCATCTCACTTATTCCTTATGTTCGATGTGCGATTAAATACTTAGCGTGAATCCTTGTATATATTTTTAGCTTGGCTTTATACACTGTAGGATCTGAATGTGTCCGGCAGAATATGAAAGCTTTACAGTGTGGGCTTTCTTGCCTTTGTGCTTGATACAAAGAGAGGGCTTTTTTTTTTTGTCCTCCTTGTCCATCAGTGTTCGCTCTGACTCTGCACAGAATGATATTTATATCCCTCCGGGTAGGGTTCATTAATGAAGTATGTCAGCTAATAAAAGGCAGATGTGCCTTGTTACTGTAATTGGTCTTTTCTATCTTGGTTTCTGGGCTATGAGGCATCCTTATGTAAGTGTATACTTTGAGAGGCTGACTGAGGCGCAAACTGCCTCATTAATAATGGAGTAATTTCAGGCCAATCATTAAATTTGTCTTGTAGCACCCTTAACAATTGCATCAGGTGCTGCAGGCCTCTATTAGCTTGAGCAAATGCCATGCATTATTTATTTTGCGAAAAATAAGATCTGGGAATATGTGCTTCTTTTTACCGCACCTTAGGAAAAGAGGAGATGCATTCAGGCATTAGGGTTTGTCTTTCACATGTTGTGTAAAGCACAGACACTGCCGTGTGTGAAATACCAACCATAGCCTGCAGTGCTTTGATCAAGACAGTGGATGGTCATGACTAGAAGTAATCACTGGCCCAGGACTGTGTCGTGTGGTGCATTTATTAATGCACTATGTAACTGGCTCACGCTGCTACTGTACATTGTTGGACCATTTGACTTGAATTCAGAAGAATTTTTTGTCGTTCTGAAGCTGGACAAGAGCTGCTGGAGGGAAGTGTGTGAGCTAGAGCGTACCATATCTGACTGAGTCATGACCACTGCTGTTCAGCCACCCAGTCAGCCCTCATCAATGCAATTCCCCAAAATGGAGGCTGTGCTTCCCAAATCCCAAATGCTCGGTCTGTGCATGAATACCGTGGCTCAGACACGACATGTTTTTTTTTAAATTCTTTACTGTGAGCTGCTGATTGTTACACTGAGCAATGAATGTGCGAACATGTGATGTGTGACTGTCGGGTCTGAGCAAAGTGTGAAAAAATATGCATGTGCGTGTGAATGTTTCCCATATAGTTTTTGCTGTGCACTGTATGTATGTGGACATTTTTGATTTGAGGTTTCTTCTCTTTGTAGTTGTGTCAGATAAGTGTGTGCTAATGTGCACAGAGGTTATTGTATTTTGTGAGAGAGGTATAGTGTAGACTATGATTCATATATCTGGCAGTGCCGCAGATATGCATGCTACACCATGTACATTAATGCAGTATGTTAACATTTAGCTCTGTTCAGTTGGTGACAAACAAGCTTTCAGTTGTCATATACACATGATGAGCAAGGGTATTGATTTGGTTTTCAGCAGTGTCATGTCATGTTGAACTCAAGCGGACACAGGAAGTATCATGTGAACAGTCAAAAGAGCCGATGGATACTTCCTGTGGCATCCACTCCCCCCCTCCTGTCTGAGCACATAAGATGGCTGCTGCCTCATCCAGAGGACAGGGAGGTGATGAAATGAGGAGAGAGAACAAGATGAGATGAAATTCAGAGAAGCAGGGAAACATTTACCGAGTGCAAGGCTGGTGAGATTAAGGTGGGAGTGGAGGATGGAAGAACAAAGCAAAGGGGATAAGACGTGTTACAGTCTGCTGGTGTCTTTTTCTCCAGAACAGCTTTGATTAGATCAGATCATTTACTTAACAAGTAAAGTGAGAATCCTATAAAAAGATGCACTCTTCTTTGAACCTTCTTTGAAAAAAGAGTGTGACAACAAAATGAATTCCTCTCCATTCCACTGACATTTTACATCTTTTTAGAGGCTATTGCGGCTCAGGAGGTTGTGCACTAAGGGCCACCCACTAATTGTAGGTCTGGCAGTTTCATCCCTGGCTCTTCATGTCCACATGTCAAAGCTATTTTTCACTTCTGACATTTTATAGGAAAAAGAATCATTAAATTCAAAAGCTGTAAGATAAAACTCAAAGATGTTTTTTGTAACAAGTAGACAAGATACGCAAGGGTGATACAGATGGTGAAAGAAAAGGAAAAGTCCTCTGAGCAGAACAGTATACTTCTTACTTATGGCTTAAGTGTATCTTGTGTATCTGTCTATCTTGGCTGAAGTTTGCTTTATTGAACGCCACATAAATGTATGTAGCAACTCCGTAAGGATCATAGTCCTTGTTGTTCTTCTGCTCTGTGACTTTCCACTGTCCCATCTTTTGGATGCCCACTGTGACACGCTTTCATGAACTCAAATCAGAAAAAATATTGCTTGGCTCAAAGGATGTTTACCCCAAACATTATTCTAAATTAACTAACTAAATTAACTAAATAAATTAACTAAGTTTGCGTGAGAATGATTTGTAAATTGAAAGGCATTCATCTGGTGACATTGCTGTAGATGAAACTACGCTAACTTCAAAGTAGGCCAGAGCCTTTCAGATGTACTGGTGCATGTGCAGCCTGTATTGTCCTCTTATAGCTATGATATATAGGTTTATATCCCACCAGCTATGCAATTAGAGAACAAATACCCCAAAATTATCTGTAAAACATTACTTCTCAGATTTAGCATTGCACTCCTATAACATTGTCAGATTAATGCAGTAGAACATATTTCTTTTTTTATTCCCTACATCCCTACATACTTTTTCATTGACCTGCGCCTACATTACCCACAATGCAACTTGACCATCATCAGTTTGGTTTGGAGACAGAGGTAGTTCACCCCCAACCAATGCTGACTCAAGTGACATCACTTGAGGAATTGTATTAGATTATACGCAGGTCCATCTGGAGCCACAAAAGGTTTTATACAACTTTTTCCAGCTATGCAGTGGTTCACCCCAAGACATGTAAACAGAGTTTGAAGTGTCTAGGTCCTGTACATGTACAATGCATTGTATCTATTATTTTATTAATATCTTGATAATATTACTACTAGAATAAGCTTCATCATTATCGCCAATGTTATCAGTAGTTATCAGTTATCTGTGTGTGTGTGTGTGTGTGTGTGTGTGTGTGTGTGTGTGTGTGTGTGTGTGTGTGTGTGTGTGTGTGTGTGTGTGTGTGTGTGTGTGTGTGTCAGTAAATTAAAAGTAGCCTAAGGATAGGCGCCGACCTTTGGCTTCATCAAGCTGAATAATGATCAAATATTACGATCAGGGTGTTCTGTTTTATGAGGAGAGCTAATATCAGCACAGGCGCATCCTCTACTCTTCAGATGGTAAACAGCAATAAAAGATATTAAATGACCTTCTGCCCACTGGGTGAACTCATAAGTGCCATAAAGAAAATATCTTTCAGTATTTAGAATTCATTGTTACTTAACTCCTGGGTGCTGTCCCAGCTCTCACATTTCTGCATTCGCGCAGCTGTCTACCTTTCTTTTAGCTGAGCGGAGATAAATAAATGCCACGTTTGCCGCCATGGCTGTGGGTGTAATTGTATATTGTCACCCATCACGACATACAACACAGAGATTATGAATGTAGTGAGTGGTAGGCAGCTCTGACTCAGCGCTTTGGAGCTGTTCATCTGTCAAATACAAACGCCCACTCTCTTTTAACAGACACACATATACAGTGCAGTATACCGCACATATAGCTTGTGCCTGTGCCACCTGGTAAAATAACTGAACTTAACAGTTTACATGTCTGACTGCGCGGCAGATTTTTAGCTACATTAGCGTAGCGGCTCTAGGGATGTTGGGTGGTTGGTTTGTCCTCCAGCACTTAGGTCCAGACTATAATATCTCAACAACTAGGTCTACTGGATAAATTGCCATTAAAGTCTGATATTCATGGTTCCCAGAGGATGAATCCTACTGACTTTGGGTATTCCCTGACTTTCCCTTTAACGCCACCAAGTGATTGACATGGTTTAAAGACAAATGTCTGAAGAACTATTGGATGGATTCTCAATCTCAAATTTTGAGTTTGTCCAATACTTGCGTTTATGACCAAATACCTGCCTACCTCAATTGTGCTTTGTGATTAGTGCTAACTTGAAAATATTAGCATGCTAACATGTTAAACTCAGATTACGAACATGGTAAACATTATACCTGCTTGACATCGGCTGAAAGCACTGCTCTGCCTGAGCACAGCCTCACATGGTTGCATTGCTGTAGACTTTTAATTTACAGTTTTACCCATGTGACAAAAGAAACACTGTGAAAAATCAAAACTAAAGTGTACTTCTGCAAGTGTAATTAACCTGCATGTAAGCAGATGTGGCTTTTGGCATTTTAAGAAAGGGGGAAAAATGACTGTGAATCTGACTCCTTTTCTATTGTATCTCTCAGAAGGATTTTGTGTTTCTGCACCAAAGGATTTCTGACAGCACAGTTACCCCTGGCTGCCCCAGGTGTCAGTAAAGGGAGGGGCGGGGGCACTGTAGCTCAACGTCTCTCCTTGATTCTGTAAAACCTCTGGAAGCTCATTTTCAGGATATGCAGCAAAAGAGAAGCCTCCTCTTGAGGCAGGGTGACCACAACGCCAATATCCGCTGAGTCATGACTGACTCTCAGGAACTGGTACAGTTCTGCTGTATCTCTGGGGGGATACGGCATATAGTCATTTTAACCCACAGTGCAATTATGTAAATGGTATCATTGGACTGCCTCCTGCAGTTTAGTTCCAAGACGGCAAGTTATTGATCAGGGCATTGAAAGGGATTACTGATGAGAGAGTGGTGTCAGGTGAGATTAAAAAGACAAGATATCAGTAGAGAGAAAAAGATTTCGGTTTGACGGTTTGAATATCGCTCTGCTCCACATTAAATAGATTTATTACAAACAGGGTTGCTACATGGTCATCTCTCATGAAGGAACCAGTCATTTCGGATTTTGATTGGTGAAATGTGATTACATATATTATATTGCATATTATATTACATGTCTTTTTTATGTTTAAGAACAAGTTTATTAACATATCATTATTTTATTAAGGACTATTCCACATGTATGAGAAAATAACTGTTGCATTGAAACTTATTATTAAAAAAGTATCTAGTTTTAAGGTTCGGACAATGTACAGATCCTTTATTTATTGTTCATTGTATATCTTAGTGAAGACAGTGGGAATGTCAGCATGTGGCAGCATGTGCATGTACATGAGTAGACTACACTTTCTGTTGCCGGACCAAATGGCACTGACTCACATAAAGCAGTGTGACCAAAACTGTGGAGGATGGCAGCAGTCCCGTGATCAGGCTGCTTCTGCTAACACAAACACTGCCCCCTGGTGGTGAGAAGAGAACATGCTTACAGTGTCCCGTCTGTTCTGTACTGAGGAAGTGACCCAACAAGGTATGTTGGATGGATGAAAAACACATTCAGTTTTTTACTTTGGTATTTGTCCTTTAATTATGATTCAGTATTAATACGCTGCTTTTTTAAATCCTATTGTGTTGTGAATCAGAGCTGCACCTAATGATCTGCCAGGTATTTTACTGTCTGTCGATCATCTTATCGGCTTAATCAGCTTAATTGACCGATTCATGTTTCAGCTCCTCAATAAATGAACTTAAATGCAACATCTCTTAACACCTCATGCCATCATTATCTGATCACTACTACACTACTAAAAATATTATTGATACAGCAAGGTTGTGGAGGTTATGACTATTCATATGAATGCTAATACTACTAATAATAACAATATTACATACATCTAAGATCAGTAAATGTAAAATTGTGGTGGCTTATTGGAACCATTTTTTATAGCCATATCTAAACCTTATCTTCATCTCTTTCCAGAAAGGTAATAATTTCTCTGTAGGTATATGTGAATACGATGTTCTTACTGAGGCTGCTGCAGGCTGATAAACAGACAGCTGGACACACTGATGGGTGGCTCCTATTTTAAATCTCTGGCTGGTTTGTGTTGATCATCCGTCTCTGTTGCATCATGCTCTGATGCTCTGTTTTACCATACATTTGTTTTTTCTGTTCATTCTGCCCATGCTCTGCAGCTGCTGGATGCCAGGAGAACCAAGGTTTGTCCCTATGTTTGCACCACATGTTGTGTGCACAACATAGAGTCACCTTCAGTGTGCCGTGTATTTTCAGACACCTGGCGATCCCTTTGCACCATTACAACTTCCTCTCCTACGAACTTTAAAAAGAAAGCGTATTATTTCCAGCAGTTCAGCCTGCCTCCTTTTCCTGTGAACCCTCATATGTTCCCCTATAAACACTGTAAAACTATAAAGAGTGATTAGCTTGTGCAATTGTGTCAATCCAAATGTGTCTGGTGCTCCACCCCTCTGTATGTAGTACCTGCCTGTAATATGGGTTTTATTTCCATGTAAGAATCCATTTTCTCTCCTCTAAATCCTGATTGGGCCATTTTCTGGACGTAGATTGATTTTTCTCTGGAGATATCTTCTAAAAGAACATTTCAAAGCCTCAGTCAATCTGTGACAGAAACTCGGCCCTAAAGTTGTTCCCCTAAACCCAGAATCAACACCCCTACACGCAATGAGCTATTAGGCTTTAAGGTGTGTGTTTTTATTTTATTTTATTCTGGAAACACAAATAGTCACAGATAAGCACACCTTTATTCAACATATAACCAGGCCATAGTCCATGTCCACCAATGGGCACATCTTATCTAATCATAAGCATACAGTTTTTTCCACATAATACTTAATTATCTTGCAGATCACCTTTTCCTTATAACAGGATGTCAACTGTGAGGTTTCAAACACAGTATTTGTATCCAGGCCTCTCAGGCTGAGTGTCAGAGAGCAAAGACCTCTGCTGCACTGCAGGGAGGCATCAGGGTGGTCTTCTGCTTTGATTAGCAAGTTAACAACCCTCATTAATTCTGCTCACTTGTCTAAAAACAGAGCAACCTTTTGCAGCGCAGTAATAGATTAAAAGGTCTAGCAGCTGTGATTTATTTCAAGCCTTTGTATGTACAGTAAATATTGCATGTATGACATATGACATATATTAGATTATTTCTGTGATTCCAAACAGCTCCAATTTGATTCTTGTTCCAGAATAAAGAAAAAAAGAAATACTGTCTTTTGACAGCATCAGTTTATAGTCTATGTGCTTCTGAAGATAGGTAAGCGGTGTGTTCCACATGTTTGACCTGCATTTTTCCACAGAACCGTGTGCAACAGCATTTCAGAAGTGTTTATATTTGGTTGTGTCATGTGTAGGTGCTATAATGAAAAACTTTTTTTTAAATAATTTAATTAAATAATTTAAATAATTGTTGAGTCTGTGTGTGTGATCTGAACTTCAGCATCTCCAGATGACCATCCAGGCTCTGCAGGACGAGCTGCGCACGCAGCGAGACCTGAACCACCTGCTGCAGCAGGAGAGCGGTAACCGCTCCGCTTCTGAGCACTTCACTACCATCGAGCTGACGGAGGAGAACTTCCGTCGGCTGCAGGCCGAACACGACAGGCAGGCCAAGGAGCTGTTTTTGTTGAGAAAGACCCTGGAGGAGATGGAGCTGAGGATTGAGACCCAGAAACAAACACTGGGTGCCAGAGATGAGTCCATTAAGAAACTGCTAGAGATGCTGCAAAGTAAAGGGCTGCCCCCGGGGCCGGGCAGGGCATCTGAGGAGGAAGAGCAGGAGAGAGCTAGGCGCATTGCTGAGGCAGAGGCCCAGCTCGGACACCTGGAGGTCATTTTGGATCAAAAAGAGAAGGAGAACATCCATCTGCGAGAGGTACTCTTATGACCAGGGTTGAATTTGAATTGTTTTTATCATCTGTTGTCACTAGAGGGCAGTATTGAGTCTCACATAATCTATATGCTCTATTCTGCTGCTTTTATTGTAGCGTATTGGTTATGTAATGTTGTATCTTTTATTAAAGGAACTGCACAGAAGGAATCAGCTGCATCAGGATCCAAGCAAAACCAAGGCCCTGCAGACCATCATAGAAATGAAAGTAAGACTCTGACTAACAGTAGACAGCCTGACCATAACCACATGCAGCTGCAATTATTCTTCAAAATAAGGCTTCAGTTAATATGTAGGTTTTTTTCTATTCTTGTCTATTAGCTAGTATTTTTCATTTCATTATTTATCATATGAATGCTCCTCTAGCTATGACTCTAAACAAACAAGCTAATCATGGATAGTCTGTTTAAAACCAGATGTTAAATACATCTGTCCTTTGAGTCACTGACATTTGTTTTTATTGTGAGCATCAGCAGCTGAGTCAATGGCAGACACATCCCTCTATCTCTGTCTCCCACACAGACATACACTCTGTGTATCTCCTCACAAAGCAGTTGTGTATACATCAACAAGAATCAATATCACTGTTCAACATTTCATCCATCGTGGCACCGAAGAGGTGCAGCGGCCGGTCGTGCCAAATCATACACTTTATGCCATGGCAAGAAATGGCATGCTTCATTTCCACTCTACAACATTTACTGTCAGCAAACGTCACAGGCCGCAGGTCCATCATTTCAGCTTTCACTTATGCAGATTTGTTTTAAGCTTTGTTTTAAACTTTTACGTTTATTTATTTTACGTTTTATATTTTCATTCAAAGGTTCAGAAGGGGCCAAATAAGCCATGCTGTACAACTATAGCAAAATGCGTATCACTTGATGCCCAGTGTATTTAGAATTTTCTATTTGATGAAACCTGGTCGTGCAGGTCATTAAAATGGCATCTTTGTAATATTGAAATAGCACTAGAACAAGGCAAGAAAAGAATATGTATGTGATATTTTATGTAATTTTGAAGCTTCAGGGTAAATTTAAGGATATTTAAATATTAAGACAAACATTCATATTACATTAGAAAGGATTTAAGACGATAGACTTGCATTGCAGTTTTAGAGACCCCACCCAGCACCCTCGAGTGTGAATGCTTTTAGCTTTCAGCTCAAACTAATTACATTTTACATACATCCATATTCCATTCTTTAAAACCAATGCAGCTTCGTTGTGCAATTATGCTAGTATTCTGTCCCAAGGGTAAAAATGTTTGTTCAGATAAAGACTTGTTGTACGGCTGAACTGTACAACAAGCGTTGTACCACTGTAGACACCACCAGCCTCACTGCAGAGGCCTGACATCACTTCCTCAAAATAAATCATGACATCATCTCTGAGCTGACAGAGCCCTTCTCATTTGGCTGGATCGGCGCTGTGCAGGCCCCAGCCTCCCCTGGCGCGGTCATGTGACATCTGTGCTCTGGGATCCTCTCGATTTGCATACAGAGCAAGGGAAGACCCACCCTCTCCTCCTCCTTCTCCTCCTCTTTCTCCTCCTCCTCCTGTGCTTCGCCGGAAGACCCTGCATGTCTCCCCTCTCCCTCTGCTGTGTTGATGCTGATGTTGATGGGAGCGTGAATAATCCTCCCTCCCTCTCTCCCTTACATCTTTCCCGCCCTCTCCTCCTCACTCACCAGAGACAGTGCACAGTATATAGCCTTCCTGCTGCTACCATGGAAACAGGTGTGGTTGTTTATGACAGTGAGAGGCCAGTATGCAGGGAGATAGATAGGAGGAGAGACACACAGAGGCAGGTAAAGAGAGATAAAGAGCAAGATTTACTGACCAGGTTGATGTACCAGTGATTACATGTGGATGGAATAAAATCTCCCCTCCCCTCCTTTGAAGGTACGGCGTCTTGTATCTATTGCAGCAATGTTAGCTCATTGATGTTCGGAGACTAAGGTTAGATGCGACGGCAAGTGCATGTACATGTGCAGTGCTTGGCTAGTCTATCATTCCTCATTACGATACGATTACCCATGCCCCCCTCAGTGGGCTGTGGCTGACCCTGCTAACGGCCACAAGTTCATAAGTTCAGAGCCACTAGGAAGAATGAAAGAAAGACACAAAAAGAGAGAAAGACAGGAAGGAACAAGGTTGCTCTATGCTCTGCTGGAGAGGGAGATGGACCATGGCTAATCTTAAAGACGTTGTATTATTTATTTAAAAAGCCGTGAAGCTAAAGCTGCACTCACAGTCCAGAGACTGGATTCTGCATTGATCTGCAAGCAACTACAGCAAAAGCTACGGCTTGCTACTTTTCTTGCTTTCCCTCTGCATGTTTCTCTCTGGTCCTGGCTGATCTGTCTGTGCTGGATGTGTGCTCAATATTTCCCAATGGTGATTAATCCTCTGAGCGGCTGCGAGGAGCTGAATGCTTCTGATTTCAACGACACATACTGCAGCTGCTCTCAGCCACACCAAAGAGCTTCTTCCAGTCTCGCTATATCTTTTTCTTTTTTTCACTGTCTCTGTCTTTTAGCCTCTCTATCTTTTCGTTTCCTCTCTCTGTCCTGGACTTGTGTCTCTAGCTCAGGTTGATGTGCAGCATGAAACTTGTGGACATGCCAATCAGGGTTTTGAGGTGTGTCTCCTCTGCATGTTTTTGTGCAGGACACCAAAATTGCCTCACTGGAGCGCAACATTCGGGATCTGGAGGATGAGATCCAAATGCTGAAGGCGAACGGCTTACTGAACACAGAGGACAGAGAGGAGGAGATCAAACAGATGGAGGTCTACAAGAACCACTCTAAGTTTATGAAGACCAAGGTAGATACCGTCTGCACTATGCATGTGCTTGTAGAAAAAATAGATAGAAAATATGGTTTAAAAACAAACACAGTTGAGTTATTCGGTGCAAATATAGACCTGAGCACAGATGAGAATACAAAATGAAGCAGTGTCCCTGCTTTAGCTTTTAGTCTCATCAGCAAAGTGTCCTGTTGGCAAATATCTGAGAGATGCTTCTCTGCTGTTTTTTTGAGAAGAGCTCAGTGTCAAGAATACCAAAAAAAGACTAAATCAGCAAGTGCATGCTGTGGCATAATAAAATTATTTTCTTTCTTAATTACATATAAAAGTGAATTACTTCATTATTCTCATGCCAACAGACAATTGTGGTGTACATTGTGTGTACAAGTGTTTCTATCAGCCCACGCTCCATGACTATGTGAGAACTTGTGTTTTTAGCTGCTGTGTGTCAGTAGTTACAGCTGCACTGTCAAGACACCAGCATAGCTACCTGAAATCTGTAATCGTGTCCAGGTGTGTGTCTGTCTGCCGCTCTCTGGGGCTCATATGTCTCTCCGGAGCGCTGACTCTGTGTTTACATACCGCTCCTCATATTAGTCGACCAGGCGCACACCAGCCACAGTTTTGTTATTCTATTTTTAGACCTCTTTTCATCAATCATGAATAGAATTGATGTATAATATATGATGAATGCAGGGGAGTCAGTCCCAAATGCATTTTTAATGAGAGAAAAGTGAGTTGAGGAAAATAGTGCAAAAGATGTACTGACTAGCTCACTGTTCAGTAAAAAGAGGTTTCTCGTTCTTTATCTCTTATACTCACTCACTCTCTCACTCACACATTGCTTACAACAAACATTACATTGCTTATGCAATTGGTTGGACTTCAGAATCAGAAATCAGAATCAGAAATACTTTATTGATCCTGGAAGGGAAAGTCTTTTGTTAAAATTGCTCACTTTGCATATTAAGGTATTAAGGAATAGAAATAATAATAGAAAGTGGGTACGTAGAAAATATAATGGAATAATCAAATCTAAAAGTCTCAATATAAAGGAGTGTGGATATGTACAGTATTTTATAGTATTAACAGAAATGTAAATTTGCCTCTGTAAAATGGCAAAATGGTCGTCTGGTTCACGTGTCTGTAGATTGACCAGCTGAAGCAGGAGCTGTCAAAGAAGGAGTCGGAGCTGCTGGCTCTCCAGACAAAACTAGAGACCCTCAACAACCAGAACTCAGACTGCAAACAGCATATCGAGGTGCTCAAAGAGTCTCTTACTGCCAAGGAGCAACGTGCTGCCATCCTGCAAACAGAGGTAATGAAAAACCCTTTATTTGTTTGTACACAAACAGTAACAACAACCTAACAACACACTGCCTCACAAACATCTTGATACTCCGAGCCAAATAATAGGCTTGCCCCGGACCTGTGGCTTATCACTGCAAATCATACCAGCACTTTATATACTTTGGGACTTTAAACTAGCTGAACTGTGACTCAGGGCACCACCAAAGACACAGTAATATTTAGTCAACTAAACATCGAAAACATAAAAATCTGCACTACTAAATAAATAACTGTGGAAACATTACGGTTACTCTGATGCACTAACTGAAGAGCACCACCACACTAATAAATACTCCCTCAGCACTCGTGTTTTTCTGCATTTGCATAGAGATTAAGTTAAGACTGAAAAATACTTTAAAGCCATAACCATAATCGTTTTATGTGTTGCGAAGTTTGTGTGTCTAATAACTCCTATAAAGCTTTTTACTCAATTACGGTCAAGACCACGTTATATGAAGCTCTTTTATTGTAAGTAGGCTCTCTACAGTATGTGGACTACTTCTAAGGCAGGGGTTTTCAAACTCTGGGACTGTGGGTCTCTCCTCAGACAAAGCTTGGAAAAAGGTGCCCCCTCACCTCCCCTTAGTTTCCTGGCTGCTTATGGAATCATGATTATGTTGTACAATTTCCTTATATTACTGTTTGACATAACTGTGTTCTAAACCATATACATAAAAAAAGGTCTGTCCTCAGGCATTAGTTTCTGACTCTGGGAAAGTGGGGAAGACAGTAAAATTCCTTAAAACTACTATATCTCTTTAACCAAATCACAGATGTGAAGGATGTGATCTCCCTTTGATAGCTAATGACAAGTAATATAATATTTTTTTCACTCCCATTCTCTGAGGCTGGATTTCCACTTTGAAAACCTCTGCTCTAAGGTGTTTTTTGGCTGTGTCACGCTTCAGGTGGATGCGCTGCGTCTGCGTCTGGAGGAGAAAGAGTCCTTCCTGAACAAGAAAACCAAGCAGCTGCAGGACCTGACGGAGGAGAAGGGCACTCTTGCCGGAGAAATCAGGGACATGAAAGACATGCTAGAGGTCAAAGAAAGGAAGATCAATGTCCTGCAGAAGAAGGTGAGAAGCCGAAGTAAATGTTACCATATAAAGGGCGTATGAAGGGATAGAAGAGATTAAAAGCCAGAAGGTGGGAATACAAACTGAGGTAAATGTGGTAAAAAAATGTCCAAACCATTTACTAACTGCTCTCTGACTTATTGCTTCGTTACCTATCTATGGTTAATAGGCGGCGGTCTATGTAGGTGTCCCCCAAGATGAAATTTGAAATGAACGATGAGTGGAACCGATTGTTTTGTCTGATTCTTATGTCCTGGTCTAAACCAGTCACTTGGTGAAAACAACAAAGCAGAGTGGCATTAAGAGTGAGAGTCTCTGTTGCTCTCAGGGGGAAAGTGTCCATAGAAAGACAAGCAAGGAGATATTTCTGCCTCACTGGCTCAAGTGTGTGTGCTATAAATACTCACAGAGTGTGACTCCCTCTCTCACCCTGGCCTGCTCGCCCATTCCCTTTTGCTTGTTATCCCTCCTCTCTTGTTCTATCACAACTCCTCTCCCTCAGCCGTCCACTTATATCTCTCTCTTTGTGATTTCTAAATAATTGTTTTCTTCCCATGTTGTTATTTTTGTTTTGTTCCTCTGTTGTGTCAATCATATAACATGATATATAAGATCAGTGCACATATTCTACTTTCTCTAAATAGTTTTTATATTATTACTTAATGCACACTCATTATTTGCTCACTGATGGCAGCTTGATTTATATTTCTTTCCACTCTTTATTCTGCTTCTCAAACTCTTCTTAAAAGTCTTTTTGATCTTCCTGAAATGGAAAATGCTTCGTTGTAAAGCCCTAGCACATTCCAAACTATGAATGTTGTCAGTAGCAGGTTTTAATCTTAAGACTTTCATAATCTCCAAGTCTAGCCGTTACGCCAACTTTAAATACTGCTCTGACGACCATCCTCCTGGTCTCCTCCTCCCTCTGTCAGATTGAGAACCTGCAGGAGCAGCTGCGGGACAAAGACAAGCAGCTGGGGAACCTGAAGGACAGGGTCAAGTCTCTGCAGACAGACTCCAGTAACACAGACACTGCCCTGGCCACCCTGGAGGAGGCACTGTCAGAGAAGGTATGGTACATGGCATTAGGATGGATGCAATGAGTGTTCACGGTTGGGCTGTGAACAACTAATTAATGTTTCCTGTTTGGGAGGTCATTTTAATGAGAGTCTGTTGCACTGACATAAATTAGGTTTGATTTCAGGGCCTGTGTATTCATCAACCCGCTGAAATTTAAATTTAAAAAGCAGCCAGGCAACCAACAGCAACTAGCAACTGGACTAGGTTGAAGATTCTCAAAGACGTTTCACCTTTCATCTGAGGGGCTTCTTCTGTTCTGAGGAATTCTCAACGACATAATTTTAGTTTTTGTACGCATTTAAAAAAACAGATATAACATGTTAATTTGTGAGCTTTGGAGGTGCTGGCATGTGGACTTTTTTTTAACCTTTGGACAGAAACAGGTTAGCTGAATGCTTAGCTACGTTAGCCAGCTGCTGGCGGTAGCTTCTCACTTGTATAGTGGTCAAAGACAAAAGTAATAATCCTTCACTTTTACTCCTCGTAAACTTAAGCTTTTTGTTTATGACACTTCTTACAACTTAAAGGTGCCACTTGAGAGCTGCTCTTAAAGCTTACTCTTACACTTCGCTGTGAGTACGATTAGGCTGCTTATAAATGTGTCTTCTTGCTAACACTGAGCGAAGACTTTTTAAACCCCTGAACTGGCTCCTAATTCTTAAGTGTAAATTCTTTCATTTTGTTTTTGTGTGTTAGGAGAGGATTATTGAGCGTTTAAAGGACCAAAGGGAGAGGGAAGACAGAGAACGCCTGGAAGAAGTAGAGTCCTATAAGAAAGAAAACAAGGATCTGAAGGAGAAGGTCAACAGTCTGCAGATAGAATTAACGGACAAAGAGGTCAGTGAGTATGCACAGAGCAAAGAGATTCTCTTTTGTGTGCAAGGGTGTAGGGCTATGTCTACATAAGTGCATATTGTACACATGCTGCGTCTTTATGTTTATTTTATTAGGCCTTTATATGATATTAAGCTGCCTCCTCTGGCACTGCAGCCTAGTTAGACGTCCTAGTTTGATCTTATGCTAAATGTCTGCCCACCTGTAGTCCAGTCTCATCGATTTGAAGGAACACGCCTCATCCCTGGCATCCTCTGGCCTCAAGAAGGATTCAAAGCTCAAGTCACTGGAGATTGCCATCGAGCAGAAAAAAGAGGAGTGTAGTAAGTTGGAGACGCAGTTGCAGAAGGTGGGTTTGTGTGTCAAAATAACTGTGTATATTTGATTTAATGAGTTAAATATTATTAATCCTAGATTTATATATTGTTTATGCAGTTACACCTTATTTTAGTGTCATCACAGTTCAGAAAGCCATTTTGGAAGAAATAATTCACATTACATATATCAGTCAAACTACAACTCTTAAACTGTCCCTAGTCACTACAGTTGTGTAGTACTCTACACAGGTATGCTGTATTTTCCATTTGTTTTGTTATAATGGACTGAAAGCTCTGTCATTAATAGTGTTGTTGTAGTTGAAGAGGGAAAATCCACACTTTTAATTCAGTTTGTTAAAGCTAACACAATACCACAGCAGCGTATCATAGCACATGTATGTTCATAGAAATTTACATTTGTACTACAAGATGCATTGTATCTCTTGATCTACATCTGAAATCTATATTTTAACAAGTACATGGATTGAAAGCACCGCAGTTATGTCCCTTGTGGTGTGATTGTTTTACCAAAGACTGTTTCTAAGGTGATAATTTAACTTTCAGTCTGAAATTTACAGTCATGTAATATTATCTTTTTATTGTGACCAACATTTTTAAACTTTTCAGTCTCATCAAAAAAAACATATACCATATTTTTGGCTGTAGAAAAGGAAGAATAAACAAATAAAATAGAAAAGAAACAAAATAAATTGGAAGTATGAAATCATGTGTTTCAAGCATGAGAACATTTTAATGTTGTTATGAAAAGGATATATACAGATGAGGAATCTACAGATAATTTCAAGATGTTCAGGATAAAAATGACCTAGTTCAGTAGTGAAACAGTTTTATGATAACTGGTTTGACTTTGGCTGTAAAGAGCTTCTCTGCCCTGAGTGAAGAGATGTCCCTCATTAATCGCACTGAACTGTAGATAAAAAGCCAAAGCTGCGTGCCCACTGTGAAGAAAAGAATTAGCTCACTGTGAATCCAGGGGCCGCTTGAAGATAGTCTATTAAGTAGTTATAACTTCACAATAGTGAATTATTCCTTTCATTCTTAGAATGAGTTAGGTTAAACACTGGTTTAGTGGTTTTTTTTTTCTCTGCTCATATATGAAAAATCGTAATCGTTCATTAAAGTAATTCCTTGTTTGAAAAAAGCTAACTTCTGTAAGGATCAGTGGAATCCAGACTAAACCAAAAACATGATCGAGCCTCATATAAAACACAGTTAATAAGGATAATGCCCATCGCCGTGCTTTCTCTCCTGTAACGGGCTGCACTGCTTTGTTAGGCTGCTGAAGGCAGCAGACAGTCCATTAAATACCCCCTCTGTCTCCTCCTACTCCATAATCCACAGACTGTCCCCGTGTTTGTTCCTCTGCATTTGTCCGTTATATGTTGCCCTTAACCTGTAACAACATGTGCTGTACTGAGACTATGTTACTGCTGTCAAACATGTACTGTAACATGTCTGATCCTGCTGTTCTCTCCTCAAACTAAATCCTAACACTTACTCTCCTGGGTTCCCCTCCACCCCACCCCACTCCCTCCCTCAACCCCTCCGTTTGCAATGTAGCAAGCTGAGCAGCTATTCAGTCACATGAACAATCCTGTAAGTCCCTCTCTTCAGCGATCTGAGGCACATATTGAAAGCATGAGGACACTGATAAATTCTTTGACACATGCTAGATGGTGATCATGCCAGCCCCCGAGCACAGGTTCTGCTTTCACCCACAGACCTACCCAGCTGCATGTTGATCATTGCACTGTACAATAAGGAGCTTTATACTGCACTGTGTCCTGTGCAAAGTACTCATTCTGCAACTGTTTGTGTTTGTGACACATGTGGTGAAACTAGTGCTACATACACAATATGTAAAGTTCGCTTTATTTTGTCAGTTAAAATTATACAGTATATCTAGTTATTCGTAACTTATTTAATCGTGGCTCTGTAGTTTGTTTATCTGTAATACATTTGTATAACTAATATTTCCAATGCAAGAATTTAGAGTTATGGCTACTTTTTCGGTCACTACACTTTTATCAGGGTAAATATTTGTGAACAGGATATCCTAGAGCTCACACCTGTGTTTTGTACACATTAGAAATTCAGCCCACAATTGTAGTTCTTAATGCATATGCATAATAAGCATCAATCTTTTCACAAAGGCTACTCAGATGCTGTATGTAATGGAAGTCAAAGGACATGACCCGTGGTTAACTTCCGGTTTCCTCATATCTTTTGACACCTACAGCCCTGGAATGAACTGTGAAACTGAACTTTTTCCCATTTGTTACTGAATTGTGTTTAAAGATGACAAAGAAATAATGCAGGATTTTTTTTTTGGTCTTTTACAGAGTCAAATTCTGTGTATTTTAGGATCACAGTAAATGTCCAAGTCAAGTCAAATTGTTTGGAGGAATGCACCAATATAGTTTTATATGGCTGATGCCAACATTTTCTCACTCCAATCACTGAAAACTTTTCATGTGGGGCTTAGTAAAATTGCAGGTGTAAAACAAGTTGAGCTAAGCTAAGTTAAAATAAATCTTACATAACAGAGGATAAATCTATACAGAAAGCAATCAGGACAATACCATTACTGAAATACAAAAGCCATCATAAAGTGGAGTTCCTACAACCCTCGAACGCATCAATAATCCCATCTTTAGCATAATGCTCATATCAAAATCCACATTTAAATGCACGGACTGTATAGAGCCTAATTTGTTCAATAAAGTTCTTGACAGAGTATTTTCAGTATACTTGACTTACGTTGATAAGTGGATCTAAAATGACTTTATATATATATTTTACAATTTGAATCAGAGAAAAAATCCCCCTAAAAGTTAAATCCTAACGTCGCTCCTCATGCTTAAAATATGAAACTTAATGTTAGCCAACAGATTTACTTGGTCCCTGTTGCTTCTGTTTCTCCGTTCTTTTGACTGACAATCACAAAGACTGTGCAGCTTCGTTGGGTTTGCATGTCATGGTCGACCTTGTTGCATGTTGTCACTGTGTTGCCACGCTTTTCTTTCGTCTCGGTGTGGTGCGGTTAGCTAAGGTGTCCGCTGTGGTTGGAGATCACTGCAGTGTTTTGGTGGATGCTCTCTGGCTCTGTATAACTCTTGCACTTCTGCGACCTGTGTTGACATGTGTGGCTGCATATTGTCTCGCGGGTTATGTATACCACTGTAATGTTCTTCATGGAGAGTTACTGTTGCAATGATGGCGATAGATAACTTATGAGACAAAATCATGATATTTGCATTTTACTACCACTGATTTGTTACTATTTTTATTTTTTTTGCTTTTTAAAGTGCTGTACAAACACAAGACACACAAACACACACATCCACAGTCCTGTATTCTGCATACTCGCCAAGTGTGCGAAGTGACTGGGAGTCTCAGAGGGCTGTTAAATGGAGCTAAATTATAGCTCTGTTAAAGCTAATGAGCCAGCACCAGTAATGATGCCCTTGTCCACAACATTTTACTCTTTATTCATTCATTCAGAATGAGAGCGAGCAAGGGGAGTAGTTAATATAAGACACTGATGGACTGCGGTATACTGTATGTATCTCTCTTCCATTGGCAGTAAAAAATCCTGTGCTGTAACCGCATGGTTGTGTCAACATTATAATGTTAACTGAGTGTGTCTTCGGGTGTGTGCATGTGTGCATGTTGTCTTTCCCTGGCACGCGGATGCAGAAGGCCCACGAGGTGGAGCAGCATTCCGGCTCCAGAGGGAACCCGGACTACGTGGACCGAGTAAAGCTGCTCGAGAAGGAGGTGAGCTACTACAAGGACGAGGCCAACAAGGCTCAGACGGAGGTGGAGAGACTCCTGGACATCCTGCGAGAGGTGGAGACGGAAAAGAATGACAAGGACAAGAAGATCGCCGAGTTGGAAAGGTAATTATGATGGTCTAGACAAGTTCAGGGGCCATCTTAACCTTCGGTATTTTGATGTAATCACGCCCTTTCCTCTAACACTAAATTCTCTACTATTGTCGTAGTAACATAGAAATAATTATTTTAACAAATTTATCACATTTTTACATTACAATAATTTGGTAAGCTCGTTTTTCCAAAGCAACTTACAATAAGTGCATTCAAACTTGATAGGAGGAAGAGCTGCCGTTATCACTCTGTTTACTGTTTTTTTCTGTATCCCTAAACCAACCCCTCTCAGCTCCTGACCAAAAATAAATACTTTTTTTCTCACTGCTGCGTTGTGTGCAGTGGCCATACAGACAGTTTTGGTTTCATCTGCTGTTGTTGTGGTATCTGAGGTTTCTGCCTTTCTGTGAGCATCATCAAAATAATACCATTTACCTCCAGACAAAATATGGTATTTTGTAATTTGGGTAAACTCACCCTTGAGTGTTATTATAATACTTCTGAGCTTCCGTGTGCTTTTGTATACATGTGCCTCCATTTTCCCCTTTTTATGTACAAGTGTGACATCACGAGTGTGAGTCAGCACACTGTACTGCACAGTCATGGTCTTGAATAATACACTCAGAAATGCACCTCTCGATGGAGGCGCAGCTGCATGTTGAGATACACCAGAAGGCTCTATGTAAAAGTTGTGACACTATGTCAGATGTGATTTTAGAGCAGAAAGTGGCGCTCAGTCACCCCCTTAATGGAAGAGGTCAATCTAATTTCTGTTAATGGACCACATAAATAAAGCTGGTGCCTCATCAGCTCTTGGCTCACCTCTCAGTGTGGTACGTGGTCCAGAGTCGCTGCACTGGAAGCAGCTTTTTGGCTTTGGTCCGGCTGATGGAGGAGACCATCTTCATTCACCTGGACAGGAATTTAAACTGATGAGACGGCATGAGGACCACACATGAGCGCTGTCTGCCATTGACAGCCCTTCTCCCCTGCCACTTATAGAGTCCAAGTTCCTCCGCTTAGTATAAAACCAGTTTTATTTTTCCTTCCCAGCTAGTGACAGCAGTCATTTCATTTCGGTGTCATGCTAATTTGTTAGTAGTATTTGATTAATTGAGTGTTCTTCTCCTTTTTTTGCCATCTTTACCCACTTTTTTCTGTCCCGTTCCTCTTTCTGTCTTCTGTTTCACACCCACCTGTCTCTGTCTTCACCCTCTGCCATTGATTACCTTAACCATTGGTCTTGAACCTCTCTTTTTTCCATCTCCCATGCAATTCTTTCTCTGTTGTGCCCCCCTGACACCAGCCCCCCTCCCTCTGCCCCTCGCCCCACCCCTCGTCCCGGTGGCAGAGCTCCCCCTGACCCGCTCCCTTCTGTGTCCGCTGCTCCCCAGCAGATAGGGGGCATGGTGTGGGATTTCCTGGGAAAGTGAGTGCTCTGCCCTGGCACTTCAGCTCGGCTGCGTGGTTAAAGTCTCCGACTGCAACTGCTGCAACTACATCTGGTTTCACCTGTGTGCCTGTGTGCCTGGGTCTGCCTGCTGTCTAAAGGATGCACAGATCTTTGTATCAAACGGGCTCTGCTTTTAGTCCGCGGTGTTATTGCTGTACCCATGCACATGATACAAAGATCCCTGGTTTGTTTTTATTTTTATAGCATGTGTTTGCCTAGTGGTTTACTGTATATGCCATGGATGGTTTTTGTATCCGTCTGTGTAAGAGTGTGTTTGTGAGAGAGTTAATGCTGCATGGTTATTTTTTCAAACTGCATGTGGCATATCTCTGCACTGATGACAGAATGGGTAATTATAATGTCAACAAAGATTTTGTCATATGACAAATCGCATCACAATTACAAATTGCAAGCAGTATGATTAAATGTGAGTCAAACACTGTATGTAACAATGAAAGTCAATTTGAAGTTCAAACATTAAAGTTTGAGGTTTGTACCTCAGTCAGCTCACAAGTACAAAACCTCAGATCATCATTTTGCAATATATATCCAGACGGTCATATATTCTGAGCTATTCCCTGAGCAGCAGAAGTCACTTCATACTGGGCTTTCTGTTGTGGCATGTTTCTGTAATGATGCATGGTAAAGTCACCCAGTAAAGCCAATCACACCAAGGATTCAGCAAACTAGCAACCAAATTTCACAATTTACATTTTCATATTTTCACAGTTGTAAACCCCTGTCAAAATTTGCACTTGTATACAGATATCTACTACTAAGTAATACTGTAAATACTACACTATATGCTGTATTAATAGCAGTCTGTAGAAAAGAGTATGTAGAACTTGGTGTGATTTTCCCAACTGATATTGCTTGTTTCATCCATTTTATTTGACTGTGCTGTACTTTTTGTCCTTTAGTGTCCTAATTTGAAATATGTATATATGCACACCAATGCAGACACAACCCCCCCCCCCCCAACACACACACACACTTTGTTGTGTCTTTTTGTGGTTTTGGCTGTTTGTTATATGAAGTTCCTGTTTTTAGAGCTGAGGCCTCCTCCTGCCGTGAGCACGCTTCCCCTGCTCATTCCATCCACCCATCTGCCCACCTCACCCTATGCCATCCTCCCCCTCTTTAACTGTCAGCTCACCTTCAGATCATCCTAGTAACACCACCCGACAGCCCCTCTCTTTCCAGTGATCTTTCCCGGTGCCCACCTTCCTCGCAATCCCTCCCAACCTGCCCCAACCCTCCCTGCCTTGATCTACCAGATGCTAAGGGAAATGATCAGCCTAGTGGCCTGCATGAATATAGCTGCTGAGCTCCAGGTCTGCAAGCGCTCAGTAAGTGAAGTGCTGTAGTAGGCAGATTCTGGACGGAGCCCTGTTTCCTGAATTGTGTCAGTTCAGTCAGGTCTCTTTTGTCTGACCAACCCTGCATCCATAACTGATTCTGTCACAGCGCACTCCTTCTCTTGGTCAAACCCCTCCTTTTGCTCGGCACTCAGACCTGTCCTCCTCCCCTCTTCTTTTGCCCGGCTGATTTTTGCCTGTCTGACTGCATGTCGGCCACTCCCAGGCTTGGCAGCTGATGCACATGGTTCCATCCTGCATTAGCTGTGTCAGGCTGCAGAGCAGCGACTGTCACAGGCACCTTTGTAATCTCCCATGTTGTTCGACAGTGAACACAATGTGATCTCCTCTGGGTCCTCTATATTGTTTTTTTTTGTGCTTTGTTATGTTCTGATTCTAATGTCTTTTTTTTTTACTTTCTCCTTTGTGTACTCTCCTCTCCTGCTTCCAATGTCTCCTCCACTTGTCCCGTCATCCCCTTCTCTTCTACCTTTTCCTTTCCCCATCTGCAGTCTAGCTCCCAGGTAAGTAATGTCCCTCCCCAGATTGTGCACCCAAATCTACCTATATCCATACTAACTCTGGTGCATTAACCTGTGAGTCATGTCATGTTAATATGAATCTATCAATTCATCTGTGATGCTCATGTCTTTATTGCTATCCTGGTGATGTCATGATTCCTATCATTTTGAAACTAGATTAATTCAAAATGCACCTGACATGATTGTCCATTACACTGCGCTTATTCTTCTTGTTTGTGTTGTGGTATATGGGTATATATTGTACTCTACTAACACATCTATGTACTGTACAGTGTTGTCTCAAGAATGTATTTGGCATTTAGACAGATGGTGCAGTAACAATAGAATGGGATTCATAAAATTGACACGGAAATGCTCTTAAATTTTTGTTGTTTTACAGACAAGGAGGCAAAGACCAGACTAAGAAGGGTCCAAACATCAAACTGGGACCACAAGGGGACAAGAAAGGCTTAGGACAAGACCCTCGCAAGGACAGCTCCATGGATAGTGGTCACCACATAAAGGTGCACATTTGCTCTTAAGGAATCCACTCAGTTGCCAGTTGCAGTACCTATTGTGTTTCAATTATTTTGTCCACCCCAGTTTATCAGTGAGGGTAGGCTAAAAACAGAAACACAACCACAAGAGCTGAACATTATCACTTTCATGAAGGTAGGATTTATTGCAAGACTGTATTAGACTACAGTTTTTGGAGTGATGATACATGGTTTAATACTTTACAAATGAAACATGGGTCTACCTGTCTGTGCTTGTGTCTTATTTGGTGTGTGTTCCCACATAATGCCTGTTGTCTAATAGTTGGAGGAGCTGATGAGCACGCTGGAAAGGACTAGGCAGGAGCTGGATTCTACCAAGCAGCGTCTCTCTTCCACACAGCAGTCACTGCAGGAGAGAGACAGCCACCTCACCAACATGAGACAAGAGCGCAGGAAACAGCTGGAGGAGATCCTCGAGATGAAGTTAGTGCCATCACGACATTTGATGTCTCACAACCTCACAAAGACAGCCCACAATTTCACTTTTACAGACTTTAAGAAATAGTTAGACACTTTGGGAAACCTTTTTTGCAGTAACTTCCTCGAGTCTTGTCATCACCCTCAGGTTGCAGAGACTCCAGCAAGTAACTATGCCTGGCCAAGAAATAGTCCCGCACTTACACATAACCCTCAGACATGAGAGTGGTATCAATCTTCTGATCTAACTCTTGAGAAGAAAGTGTATTTCTCAAAATGTGGAACTATGCCTTTAAATCTCATAGTGAGAGGTGAGCATGACAAATGTAGTCTGAGTCGTGAGGCTAATTTTATGCCATCCTTTAGAGGAAGTGAAAGTGGTTTAGAGGAGAACAAAGCAATCTGATTTGTGAGTGACTTGACTTGTGTCATTGATCATCATCTGGCTCCTGAAGCTGGATCCCTGCCATAAGTAGTTTTACTTGCACTTAAACAGTATTTGACATTGATGCAGTTAAATGAAATGACAGTTTTTTACTTAAAGGATCTTCATGTAATGGATTACCTGTAAACCATTTATTTGAGGTTCTTTCCATTTTTATAGAATATAAGTGCTGATGCCACCATTTTGTTTTTCTTCTTCAGGCAACAAGCTCTGCTGGCAGCCATCAGTGAGAAAGATGCTAATATTGCACTGCTGGAACTGTCTGCCTCCAATAAAAAGAAGACCCAGGATGAGGTGCTGTCCCTCAAGAGGGAGCGGGACAAACTGATGCACCAGCTCAAACAACATGTTAGTACTGCATCACAATGTCAAGAGATATTCTGTCTGCACTGTAGCTGGTTGCCAAGGCAAGCCAAAATGAAAAATATAGCTGCACAAGGCAACTTGCTCTTTGCTAGTTCTGTTTTGGCGCTTTTCCCAAATCTAAAGTCACGTTTTTAGTCAAAGCCGTCTTTTCGGGAAAGTCAAGTCTGGAGTCATTCTAAACAGGTCCAGGTCAAATTACAGGTTTTCATTAGCAAATTGCAAGTCAATTGCAACTCGTTTCTGGCCACTGACATGACATTTCATTTCAGCTTTGATGTTATCCTGTCAAAGCTGTGTTCATTTGCATAGCTGAGTACAAATCCATTCAGTGCATAGGTCTATAATGTAATATTTAAGGTGTGTTTACCAGGTCCAAAACTGAGTCTTAAATGTTTTTGCTTTCAAGCCCCAAGTCATGTCAGGTCTTCAAGGAGTTAAGTCTAAGTGAAGTCTCAAGTCTTATTTTTTTTTTGCTTGTGTCACGTGAATCAAAGTCTCAGGTGTAGCTCTGCCATAAATTATACACCAGTAATTTTGGCAGCGACAGTATGGCATAAATATGAAGGTAAAGCTAGGAGAGTTAAATTATCTTAGCATAAAGATTGGAATAGCTGGAAACCCCAGGCAAACAATGGAGATTCCAGGAAGCCACCGCACCCAGCCCAGAAGTACTCCCAGCATGTAACTGCCCTTAAGCCACAACATTATTTTCACAGCTTTGTCTTTGTACTGATATAAAGTGCTTGGAGGTAGATTTTGTTACCTTAAAACAAAGCCCCTGTTCCCAGTCATTATGCTAAGCTAAGATAGAGAAACATAGCTTCAATGTACAGATGTATGAGTGGTATCAGTGTTCTAATCTAACTTGGCAAGACAGAGAATTATCGTAGTTATCAAAATTTTGAACTTGTTCCAAACCTATTCTTAACAAAATTACAATGACCTTAAAAATGACTGCAAAGATGAATCAGCGACTGACACAGCTTTGAGTCTGAAAAAAAAAAGGAACAGAATAATTCTCAGTGTTGGTTGAATGGTTTTTGTGCTGGATTGTATTACATTGTAAGGTGTTCCTGTTTTTATGTCCACCCATAAATGCTGACAATATGTGCTTTGTTCCGTCAGAAACACATTATATGTACTCATTATGAGGGAATAATATTCTTTTTAACAGCTGCAGATCATCACACACATAACCGGTTTCCTCTTTCTACAGACACAAAGCAGAATGAAGCTGATAGCCGACAACTACGAAGATGAGCAATATCATCCACACGGTCCTCACCACCCCCAGCCTCAGCCCCCACACGCTCAGCCTCAGCCGCAGCCCCAGTACCCCCACGCTCCCCATGCCCAGCAGACTCCATATCCACACGCCCTGCATCCGCAACACCCACAGCACCCACAGGCTCCCCCACAACACCCACACCCGCAGCAGTCACAACCCCAGTACCCTCATCCTCCTCACCAGCAGCACCCCCAGCAGCACCCTCAGCACCCCCAGCCGCCTCCCCAGCACCAACAGCACCCACGCCCCCCGCAGCCCCAACACCCTCACCAACAGCACCCACAGCATCCTCCACAACACCCACATGGACACCCCCCTCCGCAGCACCCTCACCCTCAGCACCCACACGGCCCTCCCCAACAAGGACCTCACCCCCAACATCCACATCCCCAGCATCCTCAGCATCCTCAGCACCCTCAGCACCCACAACACCCTCAGCACCCTCAGCATCCACAACACCCTCAGCACCCACAACACCCGCACCACGGGCAGCATCCACGTCACCCGTCACCCCATCATCGTGGCGGACCGGCCCGAGGACCCCCACATGCTGGTCACCGCCCCACCCAGGACCAGGTTAGATGTCTCCCATGTCATTGTTTAATTTTGGTTCATACCAACTTACTTTCCCTATAATGAAAATTCATGCTTTCATTGTAAAGTCTAATTTTAGATATTCTGGTCGGTAAGGGTTTGGTCGTCTCAGACGTTATTGAGAATCAGCATTTCTCTTGCTCTCATGTCTTGCTCAGAGTGTAGACATTTTTCAAAACAAATGAAAAGGTCAACTTAGTGTTTATGTGGTTAAAAAAAAAAAAAAAGTAAACAAATCTTGTGGCACCGTTGGCCCCGTCCATAAGGGACACAAGGGTACCATGGAACCCACATGGAAAAACTTTGGTAGAAAACTTTCTCATGTGATCCTGCAAATCCTCCCAAAGTAACTACTTAGCACGTTAATAAATTATTTGATGCTGACTTTTCAAATGTGCTTATTTTCCTATGACACTGCCTGCTGTTCCAGTGGCCTCTTTTGATCAGCACTTACTCCAGTTTCTGTCTACTTTCTTCCCTTCATGCATATCGCTACTGTTGGCCTGTAACAACAGGATGATGACGAGGGCATCTGGGCGTAATCCATGCTGTGACAACCAAAGCTCTAATTTGTTTTGAGGGGTGAGATATATTTAAAACTTTCCCACTCGATTTCCTCTCCGCCTGCAGCGTCTGCTATATTCTGTAACAAATGAAACAGCTGCATGACGTCTGGACATTTATATTTTGTCATCTCTCACAATCAGATGATTCAGTCACTAGTGGAGGAGCACAGCCATTCCATGATGTTGAAACACTACCCTACCAAACATTTATTACCTCCACTCAATCAACAAACACTCAGAAATGGGACCTTTGTTTATTTTCCGGGCGAAGAGGAGGGGGCACACAGGTGCGCAGGTCATGCGGGGGGACTGACAGCTGAGCAGGTAATTTCACACATTTCACATTAGGGCACACATAATTACAAAAGCGTAATGCATTCACATTTTGAAAAAAAAAACAAAAACAAACAAATATGCCTGACCCTTAAACAACAACATTGCTTGGCCTATATGATTTCAAGTATGGGTTCAATAAACTAATAACAATACCATCTATATTACTTAAAGACAGGAGAATCTCCCGAAGTCTCAAATAATGTCTCATTATACTAAACAGACATTATTTCATGTTTGCTTCCATGAAATTGAGCTAAATGAGAGCTTCTCTTGAGATTTTAAGTATCTTATAAAACAAGAATAAAACAAAGCAGAATTTTCCCCCCAAGAAAATCTTGTAATCTCGTAATTCTGAGATAATTACCTTGTTAATGTCTAATAGCACATAATATTAATTGGGGTGACGATGGAGCAGTGGATAAAACACATTCCTTTGGTGTGAGAGATCTGGGTGCGATTCCCACTGCGACACATCCACCAATGTGTCCCTGAGCAAGACACTTAACTAGTTTCTCCAGAAGCATGCGACTTCTGACATATATAGCATAAGTCGCTTTGGATAAAAGCATCAGCTAAATTAATAAATGTAATTAATTAAGTTATTCAAAAAACATTTCCAAATTGAAACTTGCTTATACTGTGTTCTTCTTCATTTTCTGCTCAAGGTGACCTGGGACCTCTTCTTTGTGTGAACAGCAGTAGATGTCTTCTACTCCCTCCATACAGGATCACAGATATGGGATGGCATACGAAGGAAAGAGTCAGATGTTGTTGTGGACGTAGAGACAGATGTGCTGTGTGTCAAATTCCTGCCTGGACAGGGAATGTGATAAACATAGCAGCCCCGCATAAGAGATCTCACGGAGGTCACCTCACCTGTCTGTCACCTGCAGGATGCTGCACCTCCTCAGGCCAACAACACCCTCTTGATCCTCCCTGCAGAGATCTCATGACTGTCTGCCAGCCCAGTATTTGTTCGTCATCCTTCTTCCTTTGGTTGATTCAAGATCATGGTTGTCCTGCTGACTGTTTCACCTGCCTGACTAATTCCTTTGGCTCTGGTTGGCTCCCCCACTTGACTATGTCATGGTTTCTTGATCCTCACTGCCCTGCTGACCCACCTGGTGACGTCTGACCCCTCTACCTGGCTTTCATGACCCTTAGTGTACAGAGTCCCTTCTGTTGCTTTAGTCGTCTGACTGTGTCAATGAGCTATTTTACTCTTTGTGGCACAGAGTGACTTCTTTTTTTTGTACCTTTATACATGCCCCACCCTGCGTTTCTAAAGAAGCTCATGTTTAGCATTTCTAAAAGTGATGTAGTGTCCTTTCACTTGCTCATTCCACAAAATAGTATATATAGTATGTTCCACACGCACCAGATTCAATTGATTTGAGTTTTTTTTGTTGTCATCTCTTGTTTGCAAAAGGAAGAGCTTAGAGTTGACTGATAATACGCCTTTAGCCTTGCCTGCAGCATCGGGGGTTTTCTTGGCTGCATGAGCAGGGCCCTTCTGTTCTTGGGCGTGTTGTAGCCTTAAGGTTGTGGCTGCCATTGATGTTTCTCTTCATGTTACCTCATTTTAATCAAATTTAGTCAAAAAAAATCAATCTATGCAGGTGTCACCGTAGAGTGAATGCATTTTTATTTCCCCATCCTTACTCAAATGTATCACTCAAAGTGTAATTAACCATCCAATCAGAGCGGCCAAGAGAGTGGTCAGAAAATATTCATCAGTTAGATTATTTTGAGGTTCTGAGACTATGCACCTATGCACCGCCTCCGTGTTGCAGGAATTTTTACTAATGGTGCTTCTGCTGGTGCTCAAACTAAATGGTGTCAGAAGACCGGGTCAAGAGCATCTTTTAGTCATTTTACAGTAGAGGGACTTGATCCCACAATGGGCTTAATAAACAACTGTAAAAGTGCTTTGTACATACGGTTCGACCTTGGGGGCTTTGTGAGCAGCGATCACTTCCAGACCCACAAAGAGATGATTTATCTGTATGAATACTGCTACTATAAATACTGCTCACTATGAAGTGGAGGCAATGTTCAATAGATGTTTTCCCTGCAGGTCTGTTTGTACCATTGACACCCCAGTCTCTGACCTACAGGATGCCCCTGTACCCCTCTCCCTTGTAATTCTCCTCTTCCAGCTGTAGTCTATGTGACCTCCCCAAACATAGTGACTTGTTTTCTTCTTCTGAACAAGGTGGCCTGTGCCTCGTAAAAACTGTACACATATATGATAGATATGCATATATTATATATATAGAGAGAAATCTATAGAGTGTGTCTATACGTGGTCAGAAAATTGTTTCAAACTGACAAGATAATATATGTTTTTTTCTTCATGGTTATTTTTCTAACTGGCTGGAGGTCAGAGAGAGATGTCTTATTTAGAGTGTTGAGGGCTGTGATTTTCCTCTGATTTGTACATTGTGAAAAAAAACCCTCAGCAGCAAGTAACATTCCCTGTCTGAAAACACAGGACAGCCTGAAAAAAGAGCTTTAGAGCAGTTTATGGGAAATAGAGTTGTGTATCCAAAATCTATCTAGAAGTCTAGAAAAGATGACATTATTACATTCCTTTCTTAATGTGAAAACATTTAGTTGAAGACCACTTGGCTTGTGGTGACAACTTCGAACAAAAAAAAAAAAAAGAAGAAGACTTGTCTTGAATCTTGCAGCTCACATAGGTAGCAATGAGATTATGTCTGCTGCACTCAGCAGACAGAAACATGCACTTGTGAGTGAGGACTATCACTATGAACATCCAAGTGGCAGTTTGAGTGACTCTGTCGGGATGCATTTCTTTCGCTTGTTTGTCGTCGTTGTTGTCTTGTAAACAGAAGTGGTGACATACGTGACCGTGACAGCTGATTAAGTAGAAAAACCACACATATTGTCACAGTACAGTGGAAAATTGAATTAGACTGTTACTACCCTCCCACTTCCTCTCCCTCCCCTCATGGTGCCTGTGTGTCTCCCTTATATGGCCAAAGTGTTGATTGTTGTATATAAGCATTTTTCCATCTTCCACAAACCGAGGTGATCCCTGCATCATCTTTCATGTGTCCGCTTCACACATGAACCTTTACAGCTCCTGTCACTGACCAAGAATCAACAGATTGTGTGAAATGTTGGTGTTTGTGTTTACAAATTGTTACGAGAAAGGTCCTGATTTGGATTTTCTTTTAAAAAAGGGAAGACAATGCAAACAGACAGAGGAGCAAAAATCCTCTCACTTCACCATCAGGGGGGCGGAGTACGAATCCTCCATTTTCAGGTCCTTATCTACTGAATACTTGAAGTAGGGGGTTCTCCTACCATGAAATACCATATATGATTTACATGGTAGAAAACATGAAACATGCCCATGCATGCTGACTTTTACATGATGTGCCAACTGAAAGTGATGATGTAAGGATAATCTCCTGTTCTCTATGCAGAACGATTTCTCAACCGTTGTGTCAAAAAGGTTTTGGAGACACAGGCTTAAATGCTGGGGCTGGTTTCCTGGGCTTAGACTTAAGACTAATCCTGGTTCTGAATGACTGACATTGCGCTCAGTGTGAGGTGGAGTCAAGAAGTCAAGTCTGCATCTGTGCCTAGAAGCAGCTGTGTAGAAAGACTTGAGTTGGAAGGCCTGTAGATTGACCAGTAATATTCAAAGGCCTTCAAGAAAAAGAATGAAAAGCTTAACATACATTTTCACTTTATTATTATTATTGTATACAGGTTATTTTTCTTTTGTCGGTTGCTGAAAACTTTGGATTAAACAAATCACTGTGACCAATGCCAGAAACATTTTTGTTTGACAGAACAAATATTGTGTTTACTTTTTTATTAATCATTTTTTTAAATTTAAGTTAGCTTTATTTTTTCTATTGTTTCACCTTATTGAATATGCCAGTTTGAGACTGTACTATTTGTATAAGTAAATGTTTTGAGCTGTACAGTAAAAACCTAGGAACAAGTTAAATGTGAGTGTCCAGCATGCTGAATGATTTCTTGTGTGAACGTGAGCTAATGTCCCATGAAGCATCATTCCTCACTCATTAATTGCATCTGCATTGTGACGGTGTGATGTTGTGTTTGAGAGTGATGTGTGTCTCACTTACTGTGTCCCATTAGTAGACAGCCTGTGCAGTTTTGTGAGAGTGCAGCATGTTTCTGGGGTTGCTTGTGTAAATGTATTCAGAAAAGAGAGAGTGTGTGTGTGTGTGTGTGTGCCCGCGTGTGTGTGTGTGCACGTGTGTGTGTGTGTGTGTGTGTGCGCGCAGCTGCTTTTATGGATGTCTGTGTGTGTGTGTGTGTGTGCGTGTGTCTGTCTATGTGTGTGTGTGTTATGAATGCACAAGTGAATGATCTATTTAAAAAAAAAAAAAAACAATCAGAGGAAGTCCCTAGAGAAAAAAAACGCGAGACTGAGTCAAAGTTTTGAATGAAGCATGGATACTCTGTAATGTTTTTTGTTTTTTTCAAACCTAGGAGGCTGTCCTCAGTGCCCCAGTTTGCTATTGTATGTGCTGTATCAGAATATTACTATTGAGTGTTGGCCAGCTTGTTTATATCCATCAAATAAAGGTGAATTTCTTTCTGTCTCTGTTTGCACTTTTCTACTCTAAATTAAAATCTGTTAAATCTTAATAGTCCATTCAGTATTTTCTAGTACTAAACCAGTCATGGTATGATACTGCTGGAAATTGCAGACAAGCACTGTGGTAGTTCAAATACAATAATCTTGTCCTGTACTGCAAAAAGAATTTGGTATGAATAACACTATTATCTAAATTGGTAACTTATTCTAATAACAATTTCTAAAGTGTCACTTTGTGTGATCCTTTCACATATTTGTTTTTAAAAAACACATAAAAGTATTGGAGTTTAACATTCAGTAATGTTATATTATAACAGTGTCATCAACAAATGTATCATTAACAACAGCAGGGCCCTTCAAAATAATAAAACAAATCCTAAACATAAGACATATTTATTTCAGTGACTTATAGTCTTAAGATATACATATACATGTGCACATGAAGAAAGGTGGCATTACACATTTTACTACTTTATATACTGCATTGTACATGATACAGCTTGATGCAAAAACAGTGTTACAAAAAGTACAAAAAGCCAATCTAATACATGGTTTAAGTATTCATACATGATTTCAAGCAAGCTGTATATACTTTATTCAAGCTACAACTGACACACTTTATGTTGGTGGCTCTAAATGCCAAAACAAGGTAGCTGCTTGAAAACACTTAATAGGGTGAGACGTTCCAGCTCAGTACCAGATGATGTTATAGCTGTATGATGAAAACATTGGAATCTCTAAAAGTATTTTTCTTTCTCTTTATCCTTTTTAGACATCATTAACGCTAAGCCCTTTCAACTGCATCCCACAGTCTTAAACAGTGACTGGAGTTTGCTCAACTGTTTAAGCAATATAGCAACCACCGATGAAACCTGTGAAATTCAGTTGAAAAGCTTAAGACAAAGCAGATAATTGGACCTCGAACAAAGCTTTTTTCTGTTTACATGGTGAAGAATAAACTTTCACGCTTAACATTCACAATAGGCTTTTGCCCAGCTAGTTATATCTGCAAATATTTAAAGACTGTGCAGTGAAAGAATGATTATTAATCCTTAACAGTCAACCAAAATAAAAGCTAGCAGTACAGAACGAACCTACAGGGACAGAAAACTGGCACTTCATTTGTCACTCTTTCTGGGTTTCCTGAATTCCAATAACACAGCTTCAAATATGAAAGGATGCCCTTTTCTATTGTAGGTAGATTTACTCTCTTAGCACTAACTATTTTATGTCTGTTCTAAAACATAACAATAAAACTTTGGAGTTTCACATTATTTTCGTAATGGTTCAGTGGTTGTATAAAGACTGGCATGATAATTTCTCTTACAGATAGAGAAGTGTGACAAAAATCTTTCCATGCACAAAGTGTTTTCATATCAATAACTTATATACTGTCCACAAGTGAATGCACAAGATTCACCTGTAACAGTAATAGTTTTAGGCCTTGCTGAGCAGTGGCACACGCATTTGTCAATATGAAACACTGAAGTCCGGTTTGCAGTTTTTAGCTTTAACGTCCCTTTAGGAAGCTGTCTAACAAACGGTTTCCCCTGTCAGAAAGCCAGTACCCTGCCATGGCTGCCACTGCGCCCATGAATACAGATGTGTAGACCAAATCTCCCTTAGCAGCCATCGTGGCAAGAGCACAAAGCACCACCCCAAACAACATCTGCTGCAGCACCTCCACCTCGTCATCCTTGATATCCTCGAAGAGACCTTTCTCCTTGACACCTGCACAAGGAGACGGACATGTGAAAGTCTGCGGTGAGGTCACGTGATTATACGTACAAACCTCCTTCTGTGTGTGTGATGAGACTCACTAGGCAGCTGCTTCTTCACACAAACACCGTCTTTGCGGAAGAATCCTTTAGCACAGTCACAGCGGAACGAGCCTTCTGTATTTGCACAAATCTCATCCAGGCCGTGACAGGCGAGTACTCTGTCACTACATTCATCTATATCTGAGCAAAAGAAAGAGAGGCAAATGATATCATCTCATCAAAGTCTTTAATGGATACATGAAATAATATTCAAAATATTCTCTTTTACACAATTACCCAAACACTTGGACCCCATCAGCGTGTACCCAGAGGCACATTTCCTGCAGCGAGCTGGTCCCCTGCCCATACAGCCCGCACAGGCCGGATCACAGTCTGAGAAAAGAGTGAAGAGTGAAATTTCTTCACTTACAGACGCACTCATTTGCTGTAAACACTGTATATGACACAATCCAAACACAATCAGTTTGGATCAGAGAGGGGGTAATATTTAATATTAGCTGGACATTTGTTTTTAGATGTGTGTGATTTACTGTCTCCTTTCTCATAATGTCAAACTAACTAAACCAAAAACTAACTAACTAGCTGACTTTGTGAGCATTTTCATGGCTGCTTAAGTGCTTCATTGGTTGTTATGAGTTTACACAGTGGTGCTTTAGGTGTATACACAGTATATGGATGATTAATATGATCTGCACTGAATGGTGTAGTTTTATAAAGAAAGTTAGCCTCAGCTAACCTGGGATAAAAGAAAAAGTTTGTTTCTTTTTTTACCAACTGAGTGGAGGTCACACGCCATTTTAATTATTTAACTAACAATATTATTTATTGATATATATTTTTGACTTTTTACCTCCTTTTGTCAGTTTTGGGGCATAATTTTCCAGAATTAATGCTGAAACTATTAGTAGTCAATCAATGAGTAGATCAATAATAAATTAATAGAAAACTATTTTAACAACTGATTAACTGACTTTTAAAAGCCATTTATTAGATAAAAACTGCACTGCAAATTGAAAATCAGCTGGCTGGCTAAAAAACATTTATTTGAAGACTTCACCCTAACTGTCTGACTATCCCATTCTACATGTCCAGACAAACAAAGAAGGCTCGACATCAGTCACTTCCGGTCTCCAAATGCAAGCAAACCTTTTCCCTGCACTCCTGGCAGAATCTCACTAGCTCCCCCCTGTTACCTTATCAAGCTGGGACCCACTGCTTATCTTGATGGCCTTTCAAAATCAAAAAGACACTCTCCTGAAGCGCTGCCCATACATGTTGTGATTAGTGAAAGACCAAATAGTGTTATCAACCTGCACAGCAACCCCACAAATCTGTTATCTATTACCTGCCAGCCACAAACCTTAAGCCCTATAAACTCACACGCAGGATCTATAATTTAATTCCTGTCAAGACTACTCTTTCTTCTGGCATACGCCTATCTGTGAGACTGGTTCTCCTAAATGTAAGATAGGGTGCTTATTTTTAATGGCCTTATTTCCTCTACTAATTGGTACTTTTTATTTTTAATTGAGACTTGGGTATCACCTGGCGACAGTAGCCAGTAGCTTGAGCTATGCCCCCCATCTATGAATATTTGAGCTCCCCCAGTGGAGCTAATGTTTTACTCAATAGCTCCAATAATGCCTGTCAAACTACCCTAGATGCCACTGTTCCCATTAAACTCAGAATTTCTCCTTGGATTGAGTCTTAAAAGATAGTGTAAAAGAAGAAAAAGAAAACTGAACTAATTCTCTAAACCTAATCACCACTAACCAGCTTAATCCTATAAACCATTAATACACTTATCTACCCTGTTCCCCCAGCCTCTTCATCTGCTGACTGTTATTTTTTTTTCTCTTTAGTAAGCAAAAAGCCACTGACATCAGGGTTAACATTGCACCTACTACCACTGTTGTTGTCAATATTTCTAATCACCCTGCCTGTCCTGAGATCATCGATACTGTCTCACATGCATTCCTCTTCAAGCTCTCTTGACATCTTACCCACTTCACTCCTAAAGGAGGTTATAGGTACAATCTGCCCTAGCTTACTTCACCTGTGCCTGTGGCACCCCACTCAACTAATGTGCTGGATGCCACAGGGGTCTATTCTTGGTCCCATTTTGTTTTCCCTTCATATGCTTCCATTAGGAAACATTATCAGTCATTTTAATTGGGTCTCCTATCACTGCAACACTGACACTACGCAATTCTACTTGTCCTTTAGGGCAGATAACATTAGCTATTTGGGCATTTTAATGGAATGCTTAACTGCTATTGAGAACTTTCTGCACTCAGACAAGACAGAAGTAATAATCTGTGGCCCTGAAAGCAACAGTTTATTGGTCCACTGGCAACCAATATAAAGCCTTCAGCCAGAAATCTAGGTGTCACATTTGATTCACAACTGAACTGAACCACATCTCAACAATCTCATTAAATCCTGTTACTTCTGCCTAATAAATATTACCAAAATTAAATCAGCTATTTCTTTCCCCGACTTAGAAAGGTTTGTCTTTTCATGCCTGGACTATTGCAATGCTTTGTTACATATCTTAGTCAATCCTCAGTGGCTTGGTGTCAACTAGTGCAGAATGCTGCTGCTTGAATTTTAACTAAGACAAACCGGAGGTCTCACCCCTACTCTTGCCTCCCTTAACTGGTTGCCAGCTAAATTCAGGATTGATTTTAACATTATTTTAATGACTTTCAAGGCCTAACATGGTCTGGCCCCCAGCTATATTAGGTAGCTTTTGACTCCTTATGTTCCAAGTCGTGACTTGAGAACCTCTAGCCTACCCTTGCTAGTTGTCTCTAGGTCAAGGCTGGTGACTAAGGATGACTGGGTTTTTGCCATCAGGACCCCTAGACTCTGGAATTCTTTACCTGAGGAGATCCCACTTGCCAGTACATTACCTGTTTTTAAATCACTGCTTAAAACATATCTTTATAGGAACGTTTTCTCTTTGATGCTTAATTTATAACTTTGGTGTGGTTGTGGTGTTTTGTGTTATTTTATTCTCATATTGTAACTTTATTTTGTATGGTTATGTATCTTTTTTTATTCTAAAGTATTCTGTGAAGCGATTTGAAACCTTGTTTAGATTAAGGGCTATAAAAATAAAGTTATTATTACTATAATCATCTGGGAAATTATGATTGTTAGTTCTCACTATTTTCTGACAGGTTTATTTTATTACTCATTTCTTTTTTATTTAATTTCTATTTCTATAGATGTAGCCTAAATATTGTGTCTTTTGCATTAAGTCTAAACCACTGACCTCTGCATTCAAAGGAACCCTCTGTATTGAAGCAGTAACTGTTTGTAGGACAGATGCCCAGCTCTGTGCCACACTCATCAATGTCTAAAACAGATCAAAACATATATACATTCAGTCATTATTCATATTGTCTTATGCCAAACTGGACATGTACATGATGATGTCCAGACTTGTACACAAGTCTCTGTAATACAGTACCTACACAGGAGTTGTTATGGAGGGTCCATCCTGCTCTACATTCCTCACACTGGTCCTTTTCTGGGCCTGAACACTTACTGCAGGCATCTGGACAGCTGTGAACCCGAACAGCCAACAGACAACACAGCCAAGCAGCCTGCAGCAGGTTTCTGTGAGCCATCCTTACTCTCATCTATCCCATCAGGTCAGGAAGATAAAGTTGTTCAAAATATCACATCTATGCTTGTTAAATGATGCTTGCAAGTTGGGATCAAAAGAACTAGGAACTGCTAACAAAATAAAGTATATGAGGGATAAAAAAAAAAATCACAAAAATAAAGATATATATTTTAGATTATATAATGTCACCCATTAAAATAATGTATAAATAAACAGTTTATTATTATTTTGGTAAAGAAGTCTGACTGTGTGTGGCACTCTAGTGGTGGAAAGTGACATAGTACTGTACATAAGTACCATTTTCAGTACTAATTTAATTTAGTATTTTCATTTTGTGCAACTTTATACATCTGCTTCACTGCATGTAAGAAGCAACTATTACCTGACAGCCACTGTTACTTTTCCAGATTAAATGTTACATACAAAAATACTGTTTCATTAGAAACCGCGTTTGATCAATTGAAACTGAACAGAAGCAGAAAATATAAAAGTTGCAGAATATATGCCAGTGTCACAGAATCTTCATTAAGATATATGAATCATGCTGTAGCAACACAATGAGCTATAAATATTTATTAATATTTCAGGTACTGTCACAAGCAGGCTCTATTCCAATAAATAATTAACTGAAGAACTGCGTCACATTCCAGCTTTCGTATTATAATTTAACGTCACTTTCTGACAAATCAGATCAACTCACTGTAAAACTGTTAACACACCAGGCATTTAAGTGGACATAAAAACAAAATCTTAAAGTTAAGGGCGTAACTTTTACCTCCTACAGCTCGTACGCCGACTGAGTCTGGACTATGTCGTCTTTGGTAAAGTTTTTAAATGCACAGAACTCGGCCGAGAAGCGCTTGACACACTTCCAGATCTCCTTTGTGTTGGACAAATGAACCAAACATTCTGAGCGGGCGGAACCTGCGTCAGACTCACAACACCGCCCCTCCAGAATGTAACGACATTCTGAACAAGCGCTTCTCTGTGTCCTTAACCTGACACTGGCCAATCACAACCCGAGATCCACCATGAGCAAATATATTTATAGACAAGTGTTATCTACAGACTCACAGTACATAGATATAATTAGCCTGTAGATTTTTTGGTTAAGCACTTTACAGCACTAATAGGTCTGGTTATATTCTATTTTGTTATGGTCAAAAAATCTCATGAAAAGATACAAGCAAACCATAAATTAATCCTAAAAAAAGATTTGTCTTTGTAGACAAAGCCTGATATAATGTATTTCTCAGTGCCATAGACCTCCACATTTAAAACACATCAACATTGTTGTACATTGTGACATTTTCCTTCATACAAATTAACATAGGCATGTCCTGCTGTCTAAGATATTCACAAACAATATGTGGCTGAAAATAGTCCTCAACAAATACACTATTTACTGCTATTTGAATAATGGTTGCTAAAAAGCACCGCCTCCTTAAATAATTAGGACATTATTTAACATCTTTAGTAAAAAATAAAGGGTTTGGAGCTGAAAACTCCAGATAGGGAAGTGAAGTCGGAAAGTACTGTGAAAGTGTTGATTTTGGTCATTAAGAACAATAGTCTATAGATAATCGTGTCCTCTGTTCATCTCATCCACAATTTGGATAAACATGTTCTTCATATGCACAGAGGTACAAAAATGATCAGCATGACATTTATGGGTGATTTAAAAGCGCAGTCTACAAGTTCTTCTAAACTCCAACATATTTACAGTCTGATCCCTCTTTAGGCTTTGATCTCCACTCATCTGAGGCACTCCATTTCCACCCTGTCCATGTCCTTCTACCTAATCCCCTGCTTGTCCCTCCCACAGAGAGTTCAGTCAACAGAGCCTGCGTCTGAGAGGGAAGCTGGAGCAGGGGCAGCCCCTGAAGAAGCTCTGGTAGACTCCTGTCACTGCGTGGATGGGAATCAAATTTCACCAGAAGAAAACGTTCTCCAGCACTTCCCAGCTGTTTGTCCGCTTGGATGAGGCACAGGGAGGCCGTGAACACATCAGAGTAAGGGGACAATATCTGAGGGAGACCCTCGTCATCCCCCGTCATCATTATAACCTCTTTGCGAGTCCACTCCTCTGCCCTCTCCAAAGCCTTGCGAGTCAAGACGAGCACAACTCGGCCACCATGGCTTTTCAGCTCCAGCAGCTGGGAGTGCAGCCATGGCAGAGGCCCCAGAGAGCATTGCTCCTTCCTGCTCCATTGGTCCACAGATACACTGAAGCCCTGGTTACAGAGCCAAGAGCCAAGCCGACATACTAACTCCGAAACACTATCATCCACATCTGGGGGGCTCAGCAACACCACATGACGCTTTCTGCCAACTTTAGAGAGGAAAAACAAGGGGACAGATGTCAAAGATTTGACTTGTTCCATCAAAACTTCACGAAGTTTATATTACAAGTAGTAGTAGTAGAACACTTACTCTCTACAAATCTGCCATGATGCCAGCTCCACACCCATTCTATAAAAATCATAAAATTAAGAGTAAATTTAACAGAAATACGTCAAATAAATCATTTCAGTAGCACAAATAATTGATTTCCTAAACTGTATGTGGGTAAAATAGACAGTCTTTTCTGAATAATTCCCAGATCTAGTAAACAAGATCTGGTCTTTGAGGCAAATAAAAGGAGCCTTTGTTGGAAGTGCCTGAGGAAATTCACCAGACAAGTTGGGCAATTTCATCATGGGCTTGTTACAAATTCCAGAGCAGAGAAATTAGGCACCGCTCTGTTTTCTTCATTTACGGTATGTTTCTCCTCTACCATATTTCACACACTTAAGAATTTAACACACACAAGAAACAATTAAAACAACTTACTCTTGACAAAGTCATGAAGGATATGGAATATGAGCATAGTCAAGCAAATCAGCAGCATAGCACCAACAACCACGAGACTCCAGCGCCACCGGTCAGCTGCAAATAGTACAAAACAAAACGCCATTTATTAAAACCTTAAGAAACAGGTGCTGTATTTTAGCAAAACATATCATGTCAAAATATGTAAATATGTCATGCTCCAACCTGCATCATTTATTATTATAAACTGTGTCAGACTCACTGTTATTAAAGCAAAATGGACCCAGCTCATGTCCCATCCCCTTTACGTTCACCTGCACAAATGGATAAACATAAATGAGTTATTAAAATTCAATAACTAAGTACATGATTCACAGGAGGACAGTTGCAAATACTTTACCAGCACACATGGTGAGCGCTGAAGGTTGATGTCTTCAAACACCCCTGTTGTCTCCTGAAGAGGACACATAATAAATCTTGGGTCAGCCTTTACATACTCATGCTGTGAAGCCAGGCATGATTCAAACCCAGAGAACTTCCAAAAGTTTCCAATGATACAATGATGTGTATACCAGTTTGCACAAGACCTCTAGCATATTTATTTGATCGAATGGTGCAGCCATATAGATATTTTACTCAGTGTAAACATTACATAGCTTGAAACAAGCTGATGGCCAATATATATGTGATGCTGTCAGACTGTGGAATAATAACACTAAAGTGGAAATAAATGGGGAGATTTGATGTTAAGGACTTTTCTTACCCACTGTCCCTTGCTGTTTTTTCTCCATTTGCCATTTGCCAGCGGTTGTCTAAAGCCCTTGATCTCCCTGCAGCTGGTATCTTTGTGACAGGGCCACACTTCACCCTCCAGCCTGCAGGGGGCAGACAGGTTCCACAACAGCATTGTGTGGAGGTTGTTCATTTCACCCTGGCCTACTGACACTGACACATTCTGCCATAAGTTCTCTTTGAAGAGAAGATCTGTAATGGACACATAGGAAACATCAGCATGCCGATTAGCAACTGCCCACCCTTTATGCTGTAAACTGAGAGCAGAAAGAAAGTGATGACAACTAAAAAAGACAACTTCTCACCACTGTTATAGAAAGGGCAGCTTTGAGAGCGTCTAGACCTCTGATCATTCTCTTCCCATACCTAAAAACACACACATGTCTGTCATATAGGTCTGTATAGACTCAGCATTGATAATATGTTAGCCCTAAGCAATTATGCTGTGTAAGTGCTGGTACCTGGAAACACATGCAGGGGGTCACAGAATACAGAGGAATAGCTGCCATTTTCCAATTCTAAAAAGAGAGCGAGAAAAGCAGTGGAGACTAACATTTACAAGAACTGTAGGTACTTGTTAAATATTACAGTTTGGCTGAGACATTACACACATATACACATAATACACCCACTGTGACTGAAATAGGACAACAACACTTAGATCAACAAAATGTTGACAGTCTTTCAACCAAATGATCTATCAGTGATCGAGGGAATATTTGCAGCCTATTGCAAAGACGGCCTACAGAGCGCAGTTATTCTATCTAAGTCTGTACCGAAACTACCTTTAAAAATCTACCTTTTCATTAAGAAGTCTCTCACTGTGGCTGCCTGTTACAGGTCCCTTTTATATACTCTTTATTGCATTTGTATTTTTGTATCTTTGTTCATTCAAATTTGTAACCACATGTTGTAATGAACAACTTTGCTTTATCTTTGCCAATGAGAATTTGTTCTCAATCGGCCTACCTGTTTAAATAAAAGTTAAATAAATTTAACAAAACAAAAAACAACAGCATGATTACATTGTTGAATGTATGAAATCAAAGTGATGGAAATGTACTTTATGCTTAATTGGCATTCACATTGTATGAGTTTTTATGGGACCAGCCTTTACTTGTTCGTGGCAACCACAGGTTTGTGGTAAAAAAAAAAAGTTTCTTTTAAAAAGGTCACTGAAAAAAGAGTGACATGGAGAAAAAATCTTACGATTGTCACAGAAAAAACACATCAGAATGCAAATCAAAATCTAAATAAAATAAAATGTTTTTTAATGCCTGTGTTTTAACTTTTTTCAGGGCCAATACATTTTCCAATACAAATGTTTCAATCCTAATTTTTCGTTTTTCAGTTCCGGTTTTGTTTTCAATGCCAGATCTTTATTTTTTTGATGCCAAAATATAATGTTACTGTTCCAGCCCCACAGCTGGGGAACAGGGAGTGCAGGGTAAGCTGTGTGTCCAGCGTGTATGCATGAGTAGTGTTTTTGCATAGTACTGTTTTAAAAAAGACAAAGTTTTACTATATAGATGTATGCAACATTTTTAATAAAGTACTAGTAGAGTCTCAATTTTATGTAAGATGCATAGAATAGTGCAATGGTATTGTGTCCTGGGTATGCCAGTAGTATAAACTTAATAAGGGAACAATAAACGGGACGATAAGTCCAATCTTCTAAATTTAAACATTGTGATTCATTTCATTGTAACACACCACACAAAATAAAACCATCTCTCTCCCTCTTAACACCTCTTAAACAAAGAAGAGTGAAATCTCACTCTAATGTCCCTCCTGGCTCCCTTACAGTCAAGATAGCAGCAAAAATTAAAACAATCATTAGTTGCAGCCCTACTTGTTTCTCTGAAAACATTTAAATATAAAACATAATCAGCTTATGAAATATGATGCACTGCTATATGAAACTACCCAACATCATATTGCTCCACCTCCAGCAGCTACAACATAATATGCTGCTTATATATTAATGCATAATTAATAATAATGCAATAAGTAAAATATAATATGTAAACATGTAAAAGGGACATTCTGCATTGTGAGTACTTTTACTTTTTATAATTTAAGTACATTTAGCTGATAATACACACATATGGTATTATCAGCTAAATGTACTTTAACTTCGAGAATTTAGATTCAAGGATCTGAATACTTTCTTCAAAAATAAACACAAAACAATGTCAAAACAAAAAAACACAACTGCAACTGCCACTAAAATTAGGCACTGACACTGACCTGACATCTCCCATTCCGCTCATACTGGACACACACAGAGGGA